AAAAGCCCCATAAATGAACAGCCCAGCAGGTTAAGCTGTTCAAGGGGCAGAATGCTTCTGGCCACAGCCCACATACATGGGCTACACAGCGGACAGCATGGCATTGTGTTTGCACAATTACCTGTGTCTTGTGTTACAAAGGGAATGGTGATTGATCCTTCAGTGACTTGCAATTTATCAAAGATTAGATATGATTTCTCCTGTATCTGATTAACCTTCTCTGTAAGGTGGCCATCATTTTTGTAATGACAGTAGATTATTCCATACTTGAAAAGATGGATATCAGCTAGTTTCAATCAATAGCCCACCAAAGGTGACACCTTGGATTCCCTGTGTTATCTATAAAGTGCGTCGCAAATGGTTCAATCGTTTGTCAAATATACCAATTTCATTTAATGCTCCTCTGAAGTGGAGTGGCTTTCATTTGAGCCTGAAATGCAAAGAGAGACAGAAGGTATGTTTGGGTTTTGTGGCGTAATCAGGCACTGTTACACACTGCCATGAAGAGCAAGGATGAATTTCTGTGAGTGACAGATTTGACTGTCGTTTCCAGACCCCATTAGATATGATTTTCTTTCTCACAATTGTATGGAGAGATCTTGATTGGATAAGATTGCATTGCACGGCTAAAAAGGAGGTTAAAATGAAGTATTGTGCCCTCCTGTTATTTAAGTAACACTCTTTGTACTCTCAGTGGAGTGGATATATTTTCATATATTTTGTCTTTGAATTTGCTGTAATGGTACATCCCCTCCCCAGTATCCTTTGATGTGATTCCATTCTTAATGTGTTTTCAGATTTAAATTAACCTTCATTTATTATTCAGCCACACAAAGGATGTGTATTTGAGTATGCAGAAATGCAATCCACTGATTGACTGCCGGGTCTCTGTCTGCAAGGTGGGAGGCATTAATTCCTCGGAGGGAGACTTGCATCAGTTCAGACAGTTTTCAATCTGTGGGAAGCTCTTTTTCAGCGTCAGTTTAAGAAATACATTAATAATTTGGACTCAGCTGCAGTTGAGCTCTGAACGAATCCAAGAAGGTGATCTCAAAAGTGAGGCTTAAGGACATGGATGGGCAGATTACAAGGAGCAACGTTTCAACTCTTCTTTTAAAAGAAACCTTGCCCACACCAAAGCAAAGAACATTCCTAAAAGGAGTCGTGCGACGTGCTGAAGCACCTATCTGAAAGTAACAGCATGGAAGTCTCTCTGCTGTAGTTCTGCTGTGGCAGTTTTAAGCCACGTGAGTTGAAAGATCATGATCCTTTTTCAGGAAAGCAATTTTAGCACATGGTAAACACCCAGCTATACTGAGCTGTTGCTGAAGCAGTCTTCAGTCTTTCAGGAAAGGTCAAATGTTCCACCCTTCCGTTCCTTGATCCCTGTTAAATACGTGGCCATACTACATTTTCAGTTATTCACCACTCATTACTCTCTGTAGTCTGGGGCCATGTTTTCCTGTCTTCAGCATTTTTCACAGGGTCTGATGATGCCCAGAGCACTAAGAGCTCCCATAAGCTGAGCCAGTTGTCAGGTCTGCGATGCTGTGGACTTCATGCTCTTGGACAAACATTTCAGTCACAAATGGGAGAGAAACATTGGTGCTGCTGTTACTGATGTCACCAAATCCCATCCCTGGGGAGCTGAGCGCAGCCACCACAGCTGAGCCACACTGGAAATGAGCATACTTGGAAACTGGATGCCAAGAGCTGAGGAATACAAACAGGTTCACTTTCCTGCAGGTAGAAAACCCACCTCATCCCATGGAAATCTTGCTGCTTAGTACCACACACATGGGGCTACTTCTTGTTTTGCCCTTGTCTTCTTGTGTCATTCGGAGATATTTGCCTGGTCTAGAATGATTTGTTGGGTGGTTGTTTGTTTTGTTTTGTTTTTTTAAACAAAAAAGTAAGCATTATCTGTGAATGTCAGCTTCTGCCTCGCTTTATGCCATTTATGTCATGCCTCTGCATGGTGTCCCACTGTGTCGTGTCTTCCAGATCAATATGATACAACACAGCACTGCATGAGCTACAAGAAGCAAGCACAGCTGTGCAAAGCTGTTTATCCTAACAAGTAATCCCTCCTAATGGACACCCAATCAATAGCAAACCGGGGCGAGAAGGCTTCCCTTCAGGCTGGGGAACTGCTTCTCCAGCCCACAGTGCCCACAGCCCATGGGTCTGCAGTGAGGATGCAGCACAGCATCCCCAGATGGGGCATGGAGCATCCATGGTAGCTCCCTGTTAGCAGGGTGCAAGGATGTGAGCACAGCAACTGCAGATGGGAAATGCTTCTCAGCTCCATATCTTCTTCCAAACTGAAAGTGAGCAAGAAAACTTCGTGAAGATCTCTGGCTGCTGTAAGCCAAATCATAGAATGGCTTGGATTGGAACAGACCTTAAAGATCACGTCGTTCCAAACCCGCAAATGCATTAAACGAGTCAGAAATACAGTGAGTTCTCACTGCACTGCAGCAGTAACACCAAAGGATGCCACTCAGGACACACGTGGGTAAGGAGAGCTGCAATGATCCCTGCATGCTCGGGTGCTGCAGAGCCATCCTGGCACAGGTTTGCTCTGCTGAGTGTCTGCTTGCTGGCAGGCAAGGAAAATTGTGTGTAGAAAGAATACCACGTGTTTCTTCCCACAGTAAACACAGAAACTGCCTTGGAGAAAGCGCTGATGTGCAAGGAGGCAGCAGGGAGCTGCCCTGCTTCCCTGAGCCATCAGTGACACCTAGAGCCAGAGCCCTGCAGGGGGCACGCTGCACCCTGAGCCTGGGGTGCACGGCACAGCCAAGCCAGGCTGAAAGCCAGGTTATTCTGCACCCTGACGGTGAGGAGCTTTTCATCCCCTGGGAGCACTCCCTTTGGTATTCAGCATTCACTTGTTTCTTCTTCAGAAACTCGGTGGTAATGCTGGACAAGCTGTCACAGTGCTGGCTCAGAGCAGTCGCGCTCTCTTTTCTCCCTGCTGGGATGGTTCTATGGAAGGTGACTGCTGCTGCTTCCCTTGGTAGGGGCCCACAGCCCCTCAGACAGCAACTGGCAGACAGCATAATGTTGGTATTGTTAAAGCACTCACTGTAATTTAAAAGGAGCCTGATGTTACAGATTTTGAGAATGCAAACCTAATGTTCTGGTTACTGCTTGGCTGCGTACCACCAAGGTGTGCCTACATGAGGCTGCCCTCAGTTGGCTTCTGAATAACATTTTCCATTTGCTGCTCTGCTCAGTTCCAAGGTGAGGGGGTGGTTTTGTTTTTCAGCTTTTCCAGCCCTTGAGAAGGGATTGGTAAGCATTCCCTTTGGGGTGATTTGCAGAGGGTGCTGCAGGGGGCTCCTGTGGATGCCAAGTATGGCTGGGGTCATTTGTCATTGCGCCTTACCAGCTAACCTGCTACGCTCAATTCTAAGATTGCAATGTTTCTTGACATGATTGGACTGAAACCTGGGGGCCTAATTTTCAAAGTCACTGGGCACTTGCATCCCCTACAGCTTGTACAGGAGCTGTGCTAAGCTGCTCTGTTCCATTCTTTATGTTTTTATAGACTCTGTATTTCAGCAGGAAGAATCAGATCTACTGTGTGGACTTCTCACCTCTTGCAGAAAGTTCTGGAGAGCGATCCACAGGGCTATCCACAGCAGAACCTCACTGCTGATGCTTGTTGAGCACCACGCTGTGCCTGGTGCTTTGTAGGGTGTGTGTAGGAGCAATGTAGAAGACACTCATTGCATCTCAGAATCATGTCCTTCATAAGCATCTTAAACATTGATCTGAAGGCTCTTTGAGTGGGCAGTGAAATCTTTCTTCACTAATTCTGTAGACTTGTGAAGTGAAAAGTTTTGCCCAGCACATGCGTTTCTGCAGTAGCCTTACTATTTTAGCAGAGAATTAAGCAGTTGTCCAGGAGTCCCTGGGTGAAGTAGTTAAGATTTTCATTTCATATACTAGGGAATGAATAATGCTCGTATTATTTTACCATGACAGCTGTGCAGAATAGATTTTTGGAATAAGCAAAAATATCTGTCTGTATAGGATTTTCAGACTTTTGGTCTCATTGTTAAGCAATATTTTTTCTCCTTTTCATTTCCTCTGAGACTTTGTAGAAAAAAATACAGCATTTTTGTCAACAGAAATGAAAGACAAATGTTAACTTTAGAGGCAGAGGGAATTCATGGGCTCAGATGAGGGGCTGAAGTCTGCATAATGCGTCGTGGCTCATCTTTCTACGGCACCATTTTGTTTGCACTGCATGACCAAAGTTAAAAACAGACAAGTAAACCAGTGGTGAACTCTAGCTGTGAATAAGGGATTGGTCCCAAAGCCCAGGATGGAGCTGGCACTTAACAGACAGGACTTCCCACATCACAGTTACCTGCATCCTTTTGACTTTTCCTCTGTCAATATTATGTTTCAGAAAATAACCAATTCTCACCTTTCTTCTGCTACATCTCTCCAAACTATTTGCTCTGTTCCCGGTCATCAGGTCGGTGACTTCTTGTTCATGACCACCAAGATCCTAAAAGAGGAGTCCGTTTGACCCATTAACTGCCCACATCAGCTGGGCATGACACACAGGACCCACATTTCACCCCAAACCCCTCTGCTTGGTTTGTTGGGGCACAGTTTCAGGTTGCATCTTATGAAGGGTTCAGTTGGTATCACTTGTTGTTTATAGTTATTCTTTGTGTGAGCACTCCTCAAAGAGAAAAACATGTAGATTTTAAGAAGCTAAAGGTGTCGGGATAAAATCAAAGATGCAATTCAGTTCAGATAGTTGAAGATAGTTCAGATATTGCCTTAATTTTTTTAAATATTCCAGAGTAAGCACTGTGACTTTTTCAAACTCCAGTGTCAATGCTGTAGTTGCGGTACACTGTGTGCAGATGGATGGAGATTGGATTGGTTTGCATGGAGGTGTGGATTCAGCTCCACATCTGTCTCAGTTCAAGAAAGGATTAATATTTGCCCTCCATTTTCTTCATTTGTAGATCCAACACGGGTTATGGTGTCGCCCTTCAGCATGGATGTCACTGTTGGAGAAAGTATCGTCTTGCCTTGCCAGGTGTCTCACGATCACTCACTCGATATCGTGTTTACCTGGTCATTCAATGGGCATCTGATAGACTTTGAAAAAGATGGGGATCACTTTGAAAGAGTCGGCGGGGTAAGTATCAATTCTAAAGCAGTCTCCCCAAAGGGTTCCTCTTGCATCAGCAGTCGCAGAAATAACTGCAGGTAACACACAGAAGGGCTGCCAACAGGACAAATGTATTTGACTAAGCTGATACTAGGAGACGTTATCTTATGTCTCACAGACTGAGAAAATAGGCATTGACAGTACACTGCTTTGTTACAGTTGATGCAGGATTGTTATAATTGCTTACTGACGTGCCCTGATTCTGATGGCATGAATGATGGTTTACCATTGCAGTGAACTGTATGTCAGAAGACCTACAATGCATTTTCTCCTTAAAAAAACTACCGTTACACTTTTCCCATTGAGAAGAAGTCCGTAACAAGTTAAAAAGAAAAAAAAATCAAAATGTAACAGCATAGAACTTCGTATTTATATGGAAACTGTGGTCAGCTCATTCATGTGACTATATTTTTCTCCTGTGACCACATGCTTAGAGTAAGTATTTTCTTTCCACGGAAGAGGATCTTCACTGTGCTAGAGATGTGCTGACCATTGGAGGTGATGTTTCTTCTCAGTGTTATCTCTGCACATTTCCTGGTGATGACGTGTTGGTCTGTTTGGGTTCTCTGTTACTTGTTTGTTTATAGGGAACCCAGGCTGTACCCACTGACTTTGCAAACTTTTGTAATGTCCAGAGAGTTGTTTGTTTGAGGTTTAAGTATCATACTCGTGGAAGCCTGATAGCTGGAACAGTCAGGTGTGAGAAAAAGAAGGAGCAAAAGAAGAAGAAAACTGTAATACGTTTTCAGCAGAGGTAGAGGACAGAAGAGAAGGGAGCGTTGCATGTTGCCCCAAGGGAGGCTTTACAAAGTCCCACACTGTGCAGAGTTCCAGGCAGACAAGCAGTCTGTCTTTGCATTTGTCAGGAGTGAAATTTGATGCTGAAAATAAAAGGAAATACAATTTACAAGCTTCGCTGTTATCCCTTAAAAAAAAATCATTAAAAGATGCATGTAAAGATTTCTGCCTAGGGTGCACAACAGCAGTGACAGCTCTTCCCTGTGACTGTGCTTGATTGGGCTGGAAAGCTAAAATTACAAACTGTATTAATATTCTTTGGTCTGAAAGCCACAATCACAAGGTTACCCTGAGATTTCTAATGTATTGAATGCTTTGTGTCTGGAGAAAAATTTAGAAAGAGTTCAGAGCTTCCTATACATACAGAAACATAATTAGTTCTATTCAACAGTTAATCAGACATGCATTTGGCGTTTGGAAAACAAATTACCGCTGTTAGGTGATGCAAGATTTCCTAGGAGAGTGCTGTTCTCATGATCTTTAGCACAGAAACACCAGGCAATCAAAATGCTGGCCATAACACAAGGCTGCTATTGCATATGTCTCATAATTTGGGCTAGTTTGTGCTTACAAAATAGATGGTGACACAACTTAGACATCTGAATGGCGAAGAGGCTATAAATTAGATATCCAGAGAGTTGAAGGAAGAATTGAGGCAAACCTGCAAAGGCTGTCACATTGTTTTAATGGGAAAACTGCTTAACGGACCCAAACCTGGCTCCCTTGCCCCTTGCAGAATTGTAATTGTAGAAGTGCTCCCGCTCTTATCTTCAAGGCAGACTCACATAATTTTAATAGGCCACGGCTTGCATTACGAATGTTTTCATCAGCCAGTGTAAAATAAATCCATTAGTCACAGTGTCCTTCATGTGATAATGATGTTTAGCTCTCATTAAAAAGTAATTGTAACCACTTTTCTCTACTTTATCAGCAGGATTCAGCTGGTGATTTGATGATCAGAAGCATCCAGCTGAAGCATGCTGGGAAATACGTCTGCATGGTGCAAACAAGTGTGGACAAGCTATCTGCTGCTGCAGACCTGATTGTAAGAGGTATTTGAATTTTGTTACTGTTGTTGTTGTTGTAAAATTTCTTTCTTATCTTCTGCCACTGGTAAGACAATTCCTGGGCTCAGAAACATTCATTAGGATCCCAGCATCTTGTAATTAATCTAAGAAAGCTTGAAGTACAAGCTGTGGTTCACAGTACATTTTCAAGCAACATATATAAAGCTGCTTTCATATACGCGTAGTTGTACAACCGAGACGCAGCTCAGATAAACACACTGGTACACGTTCATGTCCTGAATGCAAAACTTGCACCAGCAGAGCACATTTATTTGTTGAACTCAGCAGCAGAAATCATCTCCAGCTTCTTCACTGCGTCCCTTTATAGTTGTTCCTTTTCTAGAATAAACGTGATTTGGTAATTCCATTGACTTGTCAGGTTCTATTTGCTACTATGCATAGATGTTAAATATGACTTTAATGGAGATGAAATTAATTAACCTGAGTCTGAATCTTTACCAAAAAAAATTATATATTTTTCCTGCTTGTGAGCTTTGGGAAGCATGAAGCTGAGTCCTGCCCTGTTTCTCTCCATCCCGACGTTGAATTTTTCCTCCCCGCCCAAAAGTTTAAGATAAACTTTATAAGCACCCTGCTCTGGCTGTCCCTGCTTGAACAAGGGATGCACTGCGTGGATCCAGAGGTCCATTCCAACCTCAACCATTCTGTGGAATTATAGCTTCCAAGTCTTCCATGTAGCAAAAAAAAAACTCAGGCAACTCAACACAAGTAGGAGCACAAGTAAAAGAAGTGAGAAATTCTCTCTTTATGAGCGCTGCGCCACCCATTTGGCTTTAGTTCCTCTGAATGTCTCTTTTCATCTCCTAACGTAAGGCTTATGGTCTCATGGTGTAGCAGTTAGAACACGCGGTTGTGGTGATTCTTTTTGTACACACGTTTCAAAACAGCCTGCTGTGAGAACCTCAGTTAGGTAATTTCCTTGGTGTTGGCTCTGCAAACTAAGAGGAAGAACATGAAATTCTCACAGGAAAGTGGCTGCCGGTGACAGCAAAAAGCCACTCTTGTCCTTCCCTTGAAGCAGCAGCAGCAGGGATGTCTCTGGTGGTCTTAGGGCTGCACCAGGAGGTGTGCTGCGTTGTGCCACCGACTGTATAACATTGGGAAATATCCCTGGGCTGGGAGACTGGATGGGGAGCGAATAGCTGTTGCATAAATAGAGCTTTCCTAGTAGATAATATAAGTACTTATAAGTACGTAGTCAGTTGAGCTATGTCAAGATGATGTGATGCAGCCCTAGGGAAAGGCTGTTAAACCCATGCCTGGTTTCGGCAGTGCCATGCATGTATTTAGGGGATTTGTACTCCTGCTGAATGATCACTCAGTCCCAAACTGGTATCTCATCTACTTGAGTCAAGTTGCAGCTGCTAATTCCTTCTCGTCTCCTCTGGTCACTGTATGAAGGTAGCAGAGACTCTTTCCCCTCTCTTGACCTTGAGATAGCACATGCATGAACACCTCTGAATTAATCAGACATCATGCACACTGCTAAGCAGTATATTTGGAAATGTTGGGAGTAACCATCATTATTCCAAGACAAGAAGATGGGTTATGTCAGTATTGGCCAATTGTGAAGTATGCAATGAAATTCATTGGAGTGGAAGGACTGGAGGAGTTGAACAAGGCTGCATTGTGTGATTGATTTCCCCCAGCCAAGCAAAATGACATAGAATTTTAATTCCTTAGAAATTATATCTGGCTATACCTGCTGAAAGTTTCATTATAATGACAGGGCACTGGAAGTTTCAGGGTATTTTAGATATTTGAACATTTTCTGGTCTTAATATCATTTGAGAATAATTTTAGACCAAAGTAGCAGAGTGAAGAGGTGAGGTCATAGACATGGCCGTGTGATACAAGAGAGTCATTTCTCTGCTAGAAGCATCCTGCAGGGCAGGAAGGTCGCAGTAAGCACCCAACTTCAAGCAGTCCCTTCTGCAATGTTTCTGACAGGACCCCCAGGCCCACCCGAGGATGTGACGATCGATGAGATCACCGACACCACGGCCCAGCTGTCCTGGAGGCCCGGGGCAGACAATCACAGCCCCATCACCATGTATGTGGTGCAGGCCCGGACGCCTTTCTCGGTGGGCTGGCAGGCTGTGAGCACAGGTAAGGGCTGCGCCGACCCACCGAGCTGTGATGCTGGAGAAGGAGCCCATTGGGAACTGCTGAGCCACAGTTCTGCTCTCAGTGTGGTTTCACTGGCTGTAGGACACTGCTCTTCTTAACTGGTTTCAAGTCTGGCAACTCGAAGATTTAGGTTCCAGTCGGTGCTGTTACTCATCCATTTTTCTCATGAATGTTTAAGGGAAAACAGAATGAATTCCTATCCTTTGTTGCCACGCTGGAGATATACAGCAGTAATTGTGGTCTATAAAGACATCCCTCAGGGACAGCCTGTGTCATCTGGCCTATCTTTAAGTAGAATTATTTTCCTGATAGTGGGAAAAATCCCTTGATGTAATTGTTCATTCCACCAGAGGTTAATTCCATTCCAGTAACCATTAAACAGAGGGAACAGTGCAGTCTGAAAGGAGGAAAAGAACAACTTGTAAACCCGTTGTCTTGACACCTTGTTTTCAGAAAGTGGCAATGCAAGAGAAACTTTTTAATAGCGGGAATTTGTGCTGAAAGCACAGTGTTTTAGTGCTCTGATTCAGCAATTAATAAAACATTAAAAACGAGAAAACGTTTGACAGTCCTCATTTATGTCGCATCTGTGTTAATCCCTCACTGCTAAGGGTTTCCAACAGGGCTTTTCTCAGCCCTTTTTAATCCTTCTAGTGGTTTTATCTGCACCCCTGTCCTGTGTCTGTCTCCAGTACCAGAGGTGATCGACGGCAGGACGTTCACAGCCACTGTGGTGGGCCTCAACCCTTGGGTCGAGTATGAGTTTCGAGTCGTGGCTGCCAACCTGATTGGGATAGGGGAGCCAAGCAGACCATCAGAGAACAGAAGAACTGAAGAAGCTCGTAAGTAGCAGCGAGCAGCTGAGTTCAGTCTTGTCCCCTAAGTGCTCGTAGAGGATGTGTTACAAGTCTTGAGAGCTTGTAATGCTCCTGGGTGCTGTCCCTGTCACTTGGTCTGGCTAAAAAGGGTCACAGGCAGTGGTAGGCTCAGGTGGTGGTATGGAGATCTGTGTCTGCCACGGGAAACGTGCCTCCTCTGCTCCGTGTTAGGCTGTAATGGAACAGGCTGTGAAATGGGAAAATATGTAAAAGCCCTTTTTATGGAAGATTAATGTTTAAACTAAACAATTAGAGGCTGAATACACAAGTTAATTGACATACTTTTCATATACTATTATTGACATACTTTTAATGTGTTGTTTGCGGTGGCAAATTAGTCACTTGCTAATGTTTCCGATACCCAGCAAGGAGGGCCAGCAGAGTCCTGTGGCTGGTTCATTTCAACACACTCTGGTTTCTACATCCGCACGTGCATTTTCAGTGCTATCTGCAGTTCTGCATCTTCTTTTTTTTTTTCTTCTTTTTTTTCAGTTCCTGAAGTCACCCCAGCCAATGTCAGCGGAGGCGGTGGGAGCAAGTCAGAGCTGGTCATTACATGGGAGGTGAGTGGAGTCCAAACCAAGAGGAAAATGAATGCAGTGCTGCGAACCAGCGGTGACTTCTGAGCCTCAGCCCTTACCCTGGTGCAGTGTTATGTGACAGCAAACAGTTAAGAGTTAGCACAATGCACTTCATGCTGACTTTTACTGCTGCTAATGAAAGCCAGCAAGAGGAGATGCAGCGATGAAGAATGTTTAATATTCCTTAAGGCAGCCGAGGCTAGAACTTTAGTCATTTGTCTGCTCGTATTTTCATGTTATGATGTGATGCAGCTGGCGTATTTTTCCTAATAATGAACTTCACTAGACATGCTAACGCTTCCACTTAGCACTATTCCTGACCAAGCTGGCAGAATGAATCACCAGAGATATTTTTAAGGTTATTAAAAAACTATAAATGGGTTTTTCTCCTTACCACACAGCTCAATGTGCTAAATTTCCTCCTCCATTGGACTAATTAATTTCGCTGCATCTCCTACAGATACTCCAATATGTTTCAGAAACACAAGAACATCAGCCGTGACTTTGACTCATAATTTGCACAAAATATAATTTGTATTCCAACACAACAGTCAGTTTATTCTCATAAACATCCAGAGACCATCTTTCTAATGGCCTGGTATTTTATTTTTTTGAGCCTTGCACTACAGAGTGACACTGTCACCAAAAGTAACCCCTTGACATACAGGACAGTGGCCCATCGTTATAGAATATTGTCATACATGGAAACTTTAGGTACCCATAGGCCCTTTTGGGCTTCCAGCTGCTAACCCCCAACTTAGGAAGGACCAAGAAGCAACAGGGAAATAAGTGCAGTCGCTCAACTTGCCACCTCTCCATGCTTTGCCTGCCCACAGACCGTGCCCGAGGAGCTGCAGAACGGAGGTGGCTTTGGCTACGTGGTGGCCTTCCGCCCCTTTGGCACCATCAGCTGGATGCAGACCGTCGTGGCCTCCCCAGATGCCTCCAGATACGTCTTCCGCAATGAGAGCCTGCCGCCCTTCTCACCCTACGAAGTGAAAGTGGGGGTGTACAACAACAAGGGGGAAGGTTCCTTCAGCCCCGTGACGGTCGTGTACTCAGCAGAGGAAGGTAATGTGAGGAGCCCATCCGCTCCTCCCCGCCTTGCTGTCATCCGCGGATCAGAGAGGGTTCAGCATCCGCTGCGACATCCTTTGATACCTAATCCTTGCTCTGATTTATAATAAATGGCACACCGTGATTAATTCTTTTGATAGTCATTAAAATAACATTAATCATAATGAAATCTTTTGATATTAATGGAAAAGCAATATGTAATCTGGAAGGAATTCAGCTGAGATTTAGTATGAATTAATGTCCACTGATTAGAAGATGTTCCCTCTTGTCCTAATTACTGTACATGGTATCCTAGGTTGAGCTTAGTAATGACATTTATTATTTCTCTTGCAGAGGGGAAGTGCAGTCTAGCACAGGCCTGACAGGGCTTTGTTTTGAAAAGGGAAAGTTTGTTTTTGTCACATGCCTCTTTTCACATGCAATAATGAAATTCCCTTGAAGTTAGTGACTAATTAAACATAGAATTGAAAACTCTGATTTTATTTTTAACTCGTCTATCCAGAGCCAACCAGAGCTCCGATCACGGTTCTTGCCAGAAGCCTTTCTGCCACAGACATTGAAATTTCTTGGGCTCCTCCTCGAGAGAATCAGCACAAAGGAAGGATACAGGGCTATGAGGTAAGGCAGGGAGCCGTGGCATGGTTCCAGGGCTGTGTGCTGAGCAGACTGGGGCAACACTGCTCCTGCTGCGTGGTCCTGCTGAGCAAGGCCTTACTCTTGTTCCTTCAGCACGCAGATGTTCCTTTACTTTTGAGGTAAAAGGTGACACATCTGTCTGCGTGTAGCTGGCTGAAATGCAGATCAGAGCTTGCTGTGGGCAGCCAGTCTGTGCTGATGACCAGAGAGGCTGCTCTGATGTCAGCGTGCTTCTTTGGGAAAGCCCATAGTTTGGGTCACTTCCTCCATCTTCAGATCAAACTGGTCAGAAATACCAGCCCTGAGTTTAAGGACAGAAGGTAACATGTCTAGTCCCTGATGTCTCCCCTGAGGTGGAAAAAAACATCAAGACTTATCCAGATGAGACAGAGAGCACTTCTTTGGGCAGAGCTGTCATAGTTAGAGCTAGGAACCGCCAGGGTGCTGCCTACCTGTAGCTGGGGTTGAAGTGCTCACTTTGTCTTGCAGGTCAGGTGTTGGAGACATGACGAAAAGGAAGAGAACGCGAGAAAGATCAGGACAGTTGGTAACCAAACATCTGCCAAAGTCACCAACCTGCAGGGCAATGCACTCTATCACCTGGCAGTCAAGGCGTACAACACTGCTGGCACCGGTCCGTCCAGTGCCATGGTCAACGTGACGACAAAAAAGCCACGTGAGTGCTCAGGACAGTGGGCAGTGCTCTGCCTCAGGGGAGTCTCTGCCAGCTCCTCGGGTTTTAATTGAGCCTAAGGAACTGGGAGATAGTTCTTTGCTGTTTTCTTTGTGCAGAAGGATTAGCCATTTTTTGGTATGGCTCTTCTCCATGTTAAGTAAGCAGAGCGTGCAAAATTGAAATCACAGCTGTTTAGGAACGTTAAGTATTCCTCTTGTTGTTCAAGAGAGTTTTTTCTTCTGGTCTTCGGCATGTTGAGCACCTGAGTGCATACTTTTTCAGCCAGAGGACAGTGTCACACCTGCTGTGACCTCAGGGACACAGATCAGCTTATGAGCTGGGATGGGACAAGCTGGGAGGGTACGGGGAGGGATGTGACTGCAGATGGCACTTCTCAGTCACAGAACGCTTTCTCTATTCTGCCATAGCACCAAGTCAACCCCCTGGGAACATCATATGGAACTCATCAGACTCCAAGATCATACTGAACTGGGACCAAGTGAAAGCACTGGATAATGAGTCAGAAGTGCGGGGCTACAAAGTGAGTGTTTGCCAGCACAGACAGTGGGAGTGGGCACTATGACCGTGCCCAGCCTCCATTGGGACCTGCAGGGAGTCCTGATGGAGCCTTGGCTGTCCCCACATTCTTGCACTGGGCTTTAGTGGAAGTGTTCATTATCTCATATTGAGTTTGGGGTTTACAGTAGGAACTTAGGTGGAAACCTTCCAGAGTCTGTAGCCAGCTCCTTAATTGCAAATAAATAAAATGCTTTTTTAATAGCTCTATTTTCTTCGGAAAGCAAAGCCAAAAGAAAAGAAAGAGAATCCTCATTAGTAGCAGTTTTAATAGGGTTTAATTTAACCAGAGAGAAATTTTGGGAAGCATTCAGCTCCATCACCTTCCACAAGGGTTTAATTTGGCCCAAAGATGACATCAGTGAGCGAATGCCAGCCAGTGCCTCCAGGGCTGGGCTGTGTGAGCGTTTCCACCAGAGCTGGAAGCGATGAAGGACCTGGGCACACTTCATGCTCTGTTCACTGCCTGCAGTTTGGGGGCATCAGACTCATGCACTTGTGCCAGCTCTCATGTCTGCCCTCACTTCTAAGTATCTTTGGTGCACTCTATTGAATAATCAAAAGTAAGGAATTTCTCGGGGCTTTCAGTCAGAACCCCCAGATGAATCCCAGCAATTCAGACCATCTCATTCCTACATATTTTTGGTCTGAAATGCAAATTAAGAAGTCAGTTGAAACAGGTGAAAGAGACTTTCATCACCCTTGAAAAAGCAGAATCTATCTCACAGGTTTCTAAAAATTCCTTTTGTAACTATGGTTAGGATAACAGTCACATTCCTTCCAGGCTCACAGCAAAACACTGCCCAGCTTTTTATTTTTTTCTGGAAATCTTCTGAATTATGCCACAATTTATAATGCTAATTAATAGGACTTCCAGTTCTTAGAAGGTGAATTTAAAAAGTCGTTTACCAGTAGTGGCTGCTGGGGTCAGGCTGATAGCACCTTGGTGACCACACTGTGTGTCTGGGTGTCACTGGGTGCATTTGGGGTACTTGAGGTGTGAGAAGAGCAGCGGTCAGACCAGACACTCCTACAGCAATGAGTGCTTCTGCTGTTCATGCTTCCTCATCGCTCTCCCACACAGGTTCTGTACAGGTGGAACAGGCAGAGCAGCGCGTCCGTGATTGAAACCAACAGGACCTCTGTGGAACTCTCCCTGCCCTTTGACGAGGACTACATCATCGAGATAAAGCCCGTCAGCGATGGGGGCGATGGCAGCAGCAGTGAGCAGATCCGGATCCCAAAGATCTCAAGTAAGGCCAGAGAACAGGTCCCTCTCTGCTCTGTGTCACCCCAGAAGCAGCCAGCAGGACTGGGGGGGGGCTGAAATTCAGAATCCAGCACCAGCCCAGCTCAGGGTCCTGGCTCCAGCCTGAGCCAAGTTTAAACTATGAGGAAACGCTGTCGTAAGTGCTTACGGTTGTGTTTAAGATTTCTACACACTTTCTGCTCTCCTACTTCCATACTCATATACACTGAATATATTGTTTCACTGCAATTCACTATAACAAAATATAAAATGCAGTGTTCAGAGACTTTTAAATTTATAAGGCTACTATATAGCAATATTCCATTCTGTGTTGGATGCATAAATATTTATTTAGGGAAATGAGGTTGTGCAGAAGAACAAACAGAAAAGAGAGTATTTTATTACTCAACATTGCTTTTGCAAAATCTCCATGTCCCATCTTCCATTAATAATACCGCCGTTTATAAGCTGCATTAAATCAGCTGCCTCTGCAATGCAGGAATGTGGCATTAAAATTACAGCGATGTGAAAAACCCAGGATGAGATCGGAATTATCTCCCCCTGGTTGTGTGCTGTGGCCATACAAACCCTGCAGAGGGATTTCATCAGCAGACACAGGAGAGCAGGAGCACACGCCAGTTCCTATTTTGGCTCCATGCAGGAACATCCCTGTAGGATGCTTTAGGATCATCCTTTAGGATGTGGATTGGGCCAGACTGGTGCCGTAAATAACGGCTTGAAAGTAGCATAATTATAAAGAGAAATGTGGGAGAAGCCTCAGCATAACAGCAGTGGGGATTTCAGTGGGCAGGAGGGGATGGTGGTGGGGCATGGGGACCGGGCAGGGCTGTGGGCTGAGGGTTTGCAGTGCTCTTTTCTGATCTCCCCTCTCTCTCTGCTCAGATGCATACGCAAGAGGAGGCGGCTCTTCGACCTCCAACGCCTGCACACTGTCGGCCATCAGCACGATAATGATCTCGCTCACAGCTCGGTCCAGTTTATGACAAAAATTACACGGAGGACTTCTTGTTTATAATATAAGCAACATTTAGCTAGCTGTTTCGAAGACACCCAGTACCAAGTAATATTGTGGTTTGAGTACATCTTACTACTGGAAAAATGTTTATGCTTCTTTAGGAATGGCATTATACAGTACTTCCTCAAAGCAAATATAGCTTTGTCTGAAGTTTCCTTGGAAACTCTGCAATGCACTGAAAACATCTGTAATATGATGTTACCAAAGCAGTTTACATATGTCCTTATATGCATATTTTTTATTATATATTTAGTGTTTTATAGAATTTTTTAAAGTTAACATATGATGTAGATATTAATTTTTCCTCTGCTATAAAATGCTATGGACAACATTATCATGAAAATATTGTTTGGAATTTTTTCCTTTCTGACCGAGAGTTCCACGTTGTTCTTAGTCAGTTGGCCGCCACTTTCCTGTATGGTGTCACAGGGCTCCGCGGGGCAGAACTGCGTCCCACCGGGTTCAGAGTGAGCGGCGATCCTTGTGTGAACCCAGTGCTGTTAGCACACAAGATTTTCCATGTTATTCAGAGGATTCAGCGAGACAGACTCCAAATGCTCAGAAAGAACACTATGATCTTGAAACAAAACACACAGATTTCGGTTGTTTGCGGACTACAGGACATGTAGCTGATATTCTGGCATCACGCAGTAAGGTTCCATTTTTACTGTCTTGAAATAGCTTTGTCTTTATCATAATCAGCATTAAATTGGGAAGGAGTGGAGGTAGGTGGAGATGTTGGGTACCAGTGGGTGTCTCCCGAGGGCCCCGCTGCAAACCTGGCTCATCCCATGCCTACGTTGCTCCAAGGACACCGAGAGCAGCACTCCAAGACGCAGTGCAGCCGGGCTCAGCGCTGCCCAAACGCTTTCCTCCCTCGTCCCATATCATCCTCCTCTCCAGCCCATTCTGGCACACGCCGGGGTCCGGTGTGGGGAGAGGGAGCCCACAGCTCTTGGGAACCCCTCGGAGGAACCTGGAGGCGTAACAGCGGCACGCCGGAAAACGACAATATCCACAGCAAAAATCATCTTCTTCAGAGAAGGACTGTTTGTTACTACGGGGTACTTTTGTACGTTCACTCAGATGGGATAACGCTAGTACAAGGCAATGGAATTTTCTATAAAATTTTCAAGTTTAAATGCGCAGCAGTGGTTTATTATTATTTTTTCCTGATAGCTTGAATTTGCCTGTAACTTGTCTTTTTTGCTTACAAAATAATACAGTTAACTTTTAGACCTTCTAAATATATTTATTCGGTAACGCATAATCAGGATTCCACTTGTGTAAAAGTCAGGGGTGTTGACCAGAGAAATATTGTCAGTATTTCAAGCTGTGTTTCTTTCTTAGTTTGATATGGTTACTTCTATGTAAAAAAAAAAAAAGAAAAGAAAAAAAAAGAAAAAAGAAAAAAAAAGAAAAAAGAAAAAAAAAACCACAAAACCAAGAAAAATGGAAGAAAAAAAAAAAGAGCTGTAGTTTTCTCCCCAGTGTAAATGATATTTATCAGTGAACTAGCAGATGTAACCTTTTTTTAAAGGTATTGTTAATAAATATTCTGTCATTTGTAAAGATACCTGTCTGCCAGGAGCATTTCTCCACCCCATCCCTTTGCACCCACAATGACAAATGTCAGCACCCAGTGCCCACCCGGCTCCTCCCCACCTGGGGGGACCACAGAGAAGTTTGCTTCAGAGTAAGTCTATTGGGGTGAGAGCAGCTATTTCTGTAGAGTCCTGAACTTTCAAAACTTCCACGCAGGCTGGCGTTGTTGGAGTGCAGCTTGGGCATCTCTGAGTCTCACCAAGATATAAGAAGGGATCAGAAACAAAACAAATGCTTCTCTCCCCCCAGGTAAGGCATCGCTTCCTTCTTGTCTTTGTGAATTGTGGCAACGTTTTGTGTTTCTAATTGTGTTCTTTAAGCGTGGCAGTGTAAGTTGTGCGACTGGAGCCCAGCCAATCTTGGGTGTTTTCCTTTGGAAGAAACACCACTGCACTTCGCCCGTCAGTAATGCTTAAAACCAAAAGTACGCGATTCAGTTTTTTAGAAAGAAATTGTAAAGTCATCATCTTTTATGGGAAATGTACAAAGATTTATTAAAACAGTGAAAATAGCCATGTTTTTGAAAGGATTTCTTTTTCATCGGAATGCAGCCTAAGTAGTAATTGAAAAATTCATGTTTTAATGTCTTCGTGCCACCATAGGGCCGTGCAGCACTCAGCCCGGCCGCGTGTCAGGCAGTTTCATCAGCTCCCAACCAGCAGCGCAGGCAAGGCTCGTGATTCTGAACATTGCATGGGGAAGGAGAAGCGGTGACACTCAGATGGAGGTAGGGAGCTTGGCACCTGGTGGCGGGCACCTGAGCGTGGCTTTGGGGAAAAAGCACAGAAATCCAGACTGCGATTGTTTGTGTTGTTTTCCCATCGTCCCCACCAGCAGTATGGAAAACCCCAAGCTTATCTGTCATGTCTGAAGCTTTTAGCAGAAATGTGGATACCTGTCCAAGCTGGTGCCCCGAGAGCTGAAAGCTTTCACTGCAAGTGCAGAGCATTCACAGTGCACAGCTCAAATGCAAACTACACCAAAATGTATTGCATTAATCACTGCAGTACCTTTCCATTAATGGGAGTGAAATTATATTTAGAAATCTTATTTATTAGAGTACTTGAAGCCGTGACATAAATGAAATACATTACAGTAAATGAATTCTCTTTCATCTCGTTTTTAGGATTTTACTAATGAAATACTGATTTTCAGACTGTTAAAGCTGGGCACCTCCAATCCATTCCAATCACAAGTAGTAGAGACATTTGAGGCACAAATATTGTTATATTATTGAGCTACATTAATTTTGATGGAGCCATGCTATTTCACCCAGATGAGAGCTGCCTCGTTTATTATAATTATTTCTAGTCTTTAGCACCTGGGAACTCCATTATGTTTAGGCACTTTCCAAACAACTTCATTGCTCGGTGTTTTGTTGTTTTTTTGTCTTACTATTCCATGCTTATGTGTTCGGGGTGGCTGGGTGGCTCTTTGGGCAGAACATGAAGAGCAGAGCAGCTGGTGAGGGCAGACCAGAGCTGCTTGGGTGGCTTCAGGCAGGTCTGGTAACTTGCTTGGATGGGTAAGAAGAATGAGCTGCAATATTGGGCTTGGATTTTCAAACTCACCTGAAGGCAGTTGGAATTAGAGATGGAGGAGGGGCCCAGCTCCTTTAGTATCAGAAAGCCTTGGTAAAACCATAGGGAGCTCCTCAGCAAACTTCCTTAGCTATGCATAACTGAGGACTGTGTTCCCAGGCTGTGTTTTATAGATGGGGCTGAGGAAGGGCATCAGAATGTGCCAGGAAAGAGTTGCTTTTTTATTTTTTTTCCCCTTACGCTGTGACCTCTTGCACCATGTCTGTAGGTTGGGGCTGTCACCTTGCCATTGGCACCACCACCATGCTCTTTCCACACCACTCACACCAGATCTAAATGAATGAACAAACAATGCTGGAACCACAGCCGGGCAGTTCTTCACATGTCGCCTCATGGCTGCCTCAGAAGACGTCGTCGTGCAGAGGGCTGCAGGGGAGGCCCTCGGCCAGGCCCGGCTCCAACCACATCTCGCTGGGGCAGCTGCGTGCCCTCTGCAAAACAAGCAGAGCTCCAGCACTGACTGAACCAGCCATGCCTAGGCAGCGAGCCATCGTGAGCTGCAGGGAAGCCCACAGGGGCGGTAATGTCTGCACCTCACCAAAGTTATGCTTTAATTTAGGAATGGAGCGCTCACAGCAAGCAGCTCCAAGGTCTCATATCCCATGCAGGCAGCAGGGCTGTGCCCTGACCTCCTGCTCACCCTGAGCCGCCCTTAAGGACAGCGGGACTGAAGGTAGCACTGAGATGCCACTGGGAACAGAACAGCCTCTCTGCGTTCCCATTTCCTGGCTGCAGTGTTAATATTTGCCATTTCTCACATTCTTATTTGTGATACCCTAAGTCATGTTATTTTACACCCATGGCTTTAATTAAAAACAAACATTTGCTAATCTTTTAAGCCTGTTTCCTTGACCGGACTATGGAATAATACCCCCAAAATCAAACCTCTATTCTGAGGGGACAAATTAAAATCAAGTTACTGAGCAGCGTTTCCTTGAGCAGACAATGAGGACTTTTATCTTATCTGTAAGGCAAATGTATTTACCGGGAAAGCGACAGCAAACATAATAAGGCTTAAAACCAGCTTAACAGCAGGACACGAGCATCTCTCACTGTTCGGCTTCACAAAACAAATCGGTTCTGCAGGAGCTGAGCTCCAGTCCCTGCCAAGGCACGCCGCGCCGGGCCGCGCTCCTGCCACAGGAGGCAGGGCTGGAGGGACGGCACGCAAGTGTTAAGAAAAACCAAAAGCGATGAAAATATGACTTTACCTCATAGTGATTTGGAAAGGGATCTCTGAATTTGATCCTGGGCGTCGGAATGGGCGGAAACAGTTTGCTCCACATGTGTTGTCTGTGGGGAACAGAGGCACAGGGCTGTGAGGGCACTGCTGTGTGGTGAAGGAAGAGCCCGACCTGCGGGCACCAGCAGCCCTGACTGGGGAGCAGCGCAGGGCTGGGCTGTGCCCGAGGGCAGCCCTGGTTTGGGTGTGCAGGACAGGCTGCCTTGTGCTCAGATCGTGGTTTCTGGACATAATCTGTGTCTTGGCAGGAGAGCAACTGCAAGAAATTGTGTGGGTTGCCTGTAAGCTGCTGCATTTAGTGGTGATGAGTTGATGGTCGGTCTGGATGATCCTATGCATCTTTTCCAACCTTAGTGATTCTGTGATTCTATGATTCCTTATTCTAGCCCAAGCAGGTGCACATTTGTGGTAGCAAGAGCTGCAGTGCAACCGTTTCCTTGTATCTGACACAGCCCAGAGTACAAAATACACATCTCAGTCACCAAAAGGCTCTGTCTGCCAGAGGTCCAAGCAGGGCCATATTTTAATGGGAACGTGGCCAGAGTGAAGGTGACAGGACTTAGCCCAGGAGGAGCGTGCAGAGCCTGCTGGGGACCGGCCTGGTGCCCACAAAGCAGAGGTGAGGCTGAGGCACGGCTGCCCTGCAGCACCTGAGCCCTGGGCACTGCAATGGGCCCCGCTCCCCCGCCCCGTTTGTGACAGCTCTGGCTGATCTCTGGTTCGTTGAGCACTTTGGTTACTTTGACTTTCCTTCTAAGGCTTTCCGATTTCTGTCAAGTTTTCTTTTATCCTATTATTCCTCCTCAGCAGGGAGTCTAAAATAAATTCCTGCTGCTAACTTACTCTTTTCCATAGCTTTCATTTTGAGACAGTAAAAAATCCTCATCTCTCTCCCACCCACTCCACCTTCCTCAAAGCATTTTCAATCAGTTTGGAGCTAAACCTTCCTGGCTGAGCGGCTGCTGCCTTTAAGGAGACATTGATTGGGAACTGATTATTTGCCGAAGGGAGGGGAAGTACCACGGCTGGCAAAGCAAGACCTGACTGAGCAAGTTATGGGATGTCTGCCATTGCTCTGCATGGACCGGGGCTTGGGAAAGCATGCAGCCAAGAAAGGAATGTGCACACCCTGGTGCAGGCACTCCATCTTCACAGCTCCTACCATGAAGAGCAAAGTGATATCAAAACAGTAAATAATCAGTTGTGCTCAGCAGAAACAGGGGGATCTGAAAAGGTCCTTTGTTATGAGGTGGCATTTCTGTGGGCATAAAGAGGGACTGGTTTGTGCTCTGCCTCTTCCCCCAGCTTCTAGCGGGGGCCGGATCTGGAAGAACCAGAATAATACCCTTTGTGTCCTGGGCTCCCAGCAGGAGAAATAAGTTTAGCTCTGCCCACGCTGGTTCCACAGCCCCAGCAGCACATGGCTTTCAAGGAGCTGAGGGAAGGCTGAGTGACTTGTTGCCACCTGCCCTGGGGTGCCCAAATTCAGTTCAGCTTCAGTCAAAGGCACCTGGGGAAAGGCTGCTGCCAGGAAAGGCTGAGAATTTGGGAAAGCAGCAGTAAAGACCTTCCCAGCACGCTCAGGGAAACAGCAGCAGGGGTGCAACCTGCTCTTACCTCAGTCTGAGCGTGGTTTTGATTTACAGTACTGCTGTATAATGTAACCAAGGAGATGTATTTTTCTTAGGAACGGGTGCATTTGTAGTTGCGCTGTTTATCAATGAAAGATTTTGATGGAGCTGTGCCAAAATCATTTATTGAGTCAGCAGTAAGCATAAGTTACACATCACTTCTGGACTGGAAACACTTAAGGATGGGCGTATGAGTGCCCAGCAGCACTGAAGTGGGAGCACACCTGGCTTTGTGGTGGCTGCATGCCCCTCAGGTGCAAGGGTCCTTGCAAAGGGGCAGTGCTGTGGTGCTTGCACTGGTGCTCTCAGTATTTTTTTGCAGGACACTGAAAAGTTGAGTGATTAAATATTTTGTCACAAAAAAGTAATCTAGACATCTGTGTTTGCCTTTGTGTGGCTTAGACCCCCGCCCTTGCTGTTAGCACCACTTGGACCATTAGGCTCTGAAAACACCCTGTGGGCCCCTCCTAGCTTAACTCTGTTTCAGATGTTGTGCCGTATCTTTCTTTCTGAAATTTGCTACTTTCCCACGGGCTGGGACTTTAAAAGGCCAAAGATAAACAAAAATAAGAGAATAGGTTCTTTTTCCCTCTTGTAACCTCTGTGATGAGATGGATAAAATACTTGATTTCACATTTTGCTAGAGTGCCTTTACTAACGGCGTGGCTCCCGAGATTCTCTGTGACCTGTTCCAAATGATGACCCTGCAGCTGGTGCTGGGGGGCTGCTGGCCATGGGCTGTGTGGGGTGCAGACAAGAAGGGGAAGCAGGTGCAGGGCAGGATGGGCACAGTGATCTTAGGGTATGCAGGGTGATCCTCTTGGGGGATCTCCTCCAGGAAAAAGCGTTGTTCAGAGACAGAGGCTGAGGAAGTATAGAGGATGCTCATTCATGAAGACAAAGGGCAAACGAGGAAAGCATTCAGTTGTGCTTTTTATCAAGACAGCTTCCTCATCTGTTACAGAAGTAAGTGAAAAGGTTCTCTGAAAGGTTACTTTTCCTTCTAGCTGGGATCTTTATCTCTGCTTGCATCACAGAAAAATTTATAGAAGCCTTTACTATAATGAAATTCCTTATAATGTCTTTAAATTGTATGAAATTTCAAATGATTCTGTGGCTTGAACTGTGTGGTACACTTCATGAATTTTCAACAGCAGTAAAAACTGGGAGTATTAATGAAATTGTGATATAGGGAACTTGTTCTACTGTTCTTTTTTTAATATCTGCAGATACAACGAACATACAGGATAACCACTGTGCTTCATCTTTATGCACCTCCTACCTCCTCTCAGAGTGGGCCAGCGGGCTAGAAAAATGGGACAGGTAAAGAAGTAGGCAGAGGACACAACAATGCACTAAAAAAATTAATAAGAAATTGGCAGAGTTGAAGACGGCACTTAAATTGAGGGGAACTGTGTTTATTGTGAACCAGAAAATTGCTGCCTGCTGCTTGTTTCAAGGAAAAAGCTTGTAATTATATTGATTCTTTAATTTATCACTTACGGCCTGACCAGTCACTGCTACAGAAATTCACCATAGCTAGGTTTCTTTACAGCATGTTTTTGGAAGTTTGGCTAGGTGGAAGCTGTTTTAGCATCCATAGTCTCTGTAGTACTTAAAAATAAGCTTAAAAACTCACAAATAGTTCAATGCACTTGTTCTTGTCAAGGGGTGACAAGGAGCAGAAAGCTCAAAGGACCACTGGAATTTTTACCTCTTCAGAGCACATACCACACTCTTGACATTCAGACTACTTGCCCAGAGCCTAACATTGTGTGTACGTGTGCTGGCCAATGAGAAAATCATGGACTGTGTGTACATTTTGGCCATGAAAGATGGTCTCATCAGTTTTACTGAGGTTAAAGACAGAATCCCCCTCTGGAAGTCATAAACCCTGTAATGTCCATTTAAGTGAGGAAATGAGATTTGGACAAAAAGCCTTTTAGGAAAATGTTCTCTATTGATACGTGGGGTTCTCTTTGTTTTAAAATTTAATTGAATGACCCTCTTAACCCACCAGTTTGTCTGAATATTATTACTGATAATTAATGAGGCTGATTGTTCTTTATTCAGTACTTTTGCTTTGTGTAATTATGCTTGATTATAAAACTCAGTGCGCCTTCCAAAAATTAAGCAAAGCTTTTAATGACCCCCTAACCTGTTTAACACCAATACTTAGGTACACTGCAATTAGAAAGGAGAAATTAATACTTACGATTTGCATGCTATAGCAATAAGCGTGACGGTAGAGCATGTGGATACACAAAGCACAGCAAGACTCCAGACTATATGATTCTCCTGTTTGTTTTCTCCTGAGTATCAGGAAAAAAAAAATACATACACTTTAGTGCAGATATTATTTTAAGCATGCTTTTACAAAAGGTTTCATCAGCTGTTTTCTATTCGTATCGCAGTTTAACATGCAAACTATGCCGACTGGGTATCTCAAATTAAAAATGAAATGTAAAGCTTCAGGAATAGTTTCCGTTATGCTGACATTCTGACTTCCTCCATACATTTCTTTCACTGCATTGCCACCAAGCAGAGCAGCCTGGCCCGGCAGCACTGCCAGGATGCCAGCCTGTGTCACACCTCATCCCCGGATGCACTAAGCAGCAGAGGCACTGCTTGCTTGTAGCCTCAGGCACAACCTGTTTGTTTTCCATTAAACTGCTCTTCGCTTCTCTTCACCCTTTCCACAGGAACTGCATTTCTCTGCCTTCGTAAACTTGCCTGTAAAAAAGACGTTGAAACCTGCAGTTTTTCCTGCGAGCTGTTGCTGATGCATTTCCTCCAGGAGGATTTCTCTACTGCCTCTGCTTGTGAGCAGACACAGGTATTTCTACCAAGGTCAACGTTTTTATTTTAGAAAGGCATGCTTTGTGACCAGGACCATTACTTTGTGCCACATTATGCCATACAACAAAAGCATTTACATTGAACTGCATTTTCAAAAGGTTGCTGAGTCCGTGTGTGCTTCTGATAACTACCAGTCCTATGTATCAAATGTCAGCACTGCCATTACCAGGTAATTGAGAGGACATAAATCGGCCAGCAGCAGACACCTTGGTTTTATTGGTGCAGTAGAAAAAAAGAAGAGTATTCAATTTGGGCCAGATTTCTTCCTAAGAAACGAGCTGAGCCTGCTGTCTCAGAGAAGGCACTGGAAGCAGGGCATGGATGCTGCTATGAGCTTGCACCAATCTGTCCTGGGCCTTCGTGCCACTGAGACAGAAGTCCCCAGCCAGCCTCCAGCTGCAAACATGGCTTATTTATTGATTTTCGATGGCTTATTTAGTCTGTGGCGCTGCCACTTTTCTTTCAGGAAATTAGGAGTGTTACTATCAACCTAACTGGCTTATGCCCAGTGCAAACAACTTGTTAAGGCTGCCATCATAAAGGCTGGGAAGTGTTGTTTTCCAAACCAAAACCGGAAGATCCTAAGTCTTTTCCATATTATGATGGTTGATGGTGGTCCCCAGAGACTTTGAAGGCCTCCTAGTACCAACTCCTTGCCATGGTTGGGGTGCCAGTCACTAGACCAGGTTGCTCAAAGCCTCATCCAGCCTGGTCTTCAACATGTAAGAGAGACAGAGAGGAAATAAACGAACCATCCTCAGAGCCACACAGAAAGCTGGCAGCAGAGTGGATCAGAATGGCTGAAATGTGTACTGAAATCCAGCAACTAATGGAGTAACCTCTGCTGGGTCAATGGATTGTAGCAAGCCTCTAAATATCCCCTTTCCTAAGATAAACTGAAGAAGTTGATTCTGTTCTTGGATATGTTTGAGATTTTAGTCTTGTTTTTTTTAATGGAAGACCAATTTCCTTTTTGTCTCGTTAAACAACTAAACGAATTTCTCATATTTGGCATTTGCTGCCTCTTAGTAGAGGAGTCATTAACAATTATGTTTCCTGGTTCCCCAGTTGTCATCATGCTGCAGGATAGAGATGGCTTCAGAGATGCTTCAGCTGACAGAGAGCTTCTCTCAGATTCTTCAGAATTGCTGGGAAAGCAGAACTGGGACAGCACAGATGTGCTGTGAGTACCTTCCAGCCCCAAATTTGACATAATCATCTGTTAAACTGTGAGCCCTGGCAGTGGGTATTCCCACATACATGCCTCGACTATTTTGTTTGACTACAGCACTTCTAAAGAACCTCTTAGAGAAAGGTGGTATCCAGGTGAGCTTTAATAATGCCACTTTGGCAGCACATGGCTGCACTGCACAGGGTTTGATTACCACAGCCCAAGGAAAGGATTTAGAATTGGATTTCAATTTTTAACAAAGCTAGAGGACTGCTGCTACAGAGGGAAGGGAGAAGTACGGTAGACTTTCTTTTGCCTTTTTTTTTTTTTAGTGAAAACCAGGAAGTGAAGAAACTCAAAAGATGTTAACAGCAAAGCAGGATGTCTAAGAACAAACAGTTGATAACGTGCCATGATAAGAAAACTGCTGCTCCCTGAAAAAAATCATGTTCAGTAGGAAACACAGAACAAAGTGGGGCAAATTATCATATTCCAAAGACCACGGTGGTTTGGTTTGGTTTGAAGATTTCAGGTAGCTCCAGTAAAGTAATAACTGGTGTGACCACTCACATTAATTTCCAGCATTAGCATCTTGGAGCATCTATTTTTGCTGTTTTCTATTAAAATTAAGGGAGTGTTGCACATGCTCATGATTTGGGCAGTACATGCTTTCCAGCAATGTATTACTATTTCATTACAAGACTGATATGTGTAATCCTTACCAATATAAAGAATTTCACTCCAGTCACTCCAAAATCCATTTACAGCACACGTGTGATGATTTGCTCTTACTTGTATGGAATATCTGCAGGTAACATCAATCCGTAATCTGAAGTCATGTGAATATGTTTTTGACACCTGTTAAAAAAACAATACCATACTGTCACACATTATTTAAGACTAGGAAATTTAGAAAACAGATTAATCATGTTTTTTTTTTTAAATTTTTAAAAGCTTCTTTAGTAGACTAGCAATGAGCATCATGCTCAGATTTGGAGAGTTGTCTATCTTTACAGGTGCCAATCCTCCCCTAATCAGTATTTCAGAGCAAGTCTTGTGAAATTTGCTTTATTTTGAATTCTTCCTTAAGACACTTAATGCTGGACTTTGAGAACTGTCCACCATCATCCTTCTGAAGCCAGACACAGTGAGTAACCTTTTCGTTCTTCTGTTTTCCAAGCTCTCTTGGAGATAGTTTGTTGCAGGCATAAATGATGTCCAAAAAGGACGTAAAACATGAAAACTGCTGAGATTTTGGCTTTGTTGAACCCTAGTCACAAATAGGACACAAGTTTCACCAACAGTCCATAGTTTCAAAAATGCACTGATAGCAGATATTAATTTAAATGATCTTAAATGTGTACCATGTTTATGAAAATAAAAACTTTTTTTGCAGGTTGCATGAAGTCAATCTTTATCTACACAGGACAGTGAGTGTCAGGAACGGAATGTAATGCTCGGGCACCAGAGAAGCAATTACCTGCTTGTTACCTGACTTCAAGTTGACGAGGTAAAATTCATATTCAAAACAGCTTTTAGGGAAAGTAGAAAGTGGCTTCTCCCATGTGGCCACAAGATCATTTTGCTCTAAGAATACAGTGACGTTTCTGGGAACATTCACCTTCTCTATGAAAAGAAAATCATACCAGTAAGTTATATATAGAGTGAAATTTAAATACTAGCAATTGAAACAGCTTATAAATTGATCAAGTGTTCAAGTACAGCCTATACTTTTTGAAGTTATTTCGCATTTTAGGCAGAAAATGTAATGATTAAAGAGGAATAGGTGTATTGCACAAAATAATTAAAGGAAAAGAGTTTAAAAAATCCACTTATAAGATCAGAAAAACTAGATTATTGAAGGAGAAAGTTATTAAATTATTCTTTGCAAAGTCATGAAATTAATCATGGACTGATTCAAACTTTTTTATTTTTTTTTTAACCAGGAAAGTTACTGAAATCTGGAAAAAAAAATTGAATGATCAGCAGCTGTTTTGTGGATTGATAACATTCTCTCACAAATCTTTTACAATTCTGCTGGACTCTATTCAGTTAGTTGTTTGTTTGTTTGTTTGTTTCTACTCACCAATGGCATTTTGGTTAAATAACTGCTGGAAAGGCTTGATTGCAGCATACTTGCTGGAGCCATTAATGTGTATTACAATGAGCTCATCAATCTCACCGGGAACAATATGAGTCACTGGGAATCTGCACTCTATATTCCTGTTCCACTTGTCTTTGGTATAATCTTGGCATTCTTCCATGTATGTCTCATACCTAAATCAAAATGTTCGTGAGAAATGCTCTCAAAAAAAATTTTGCGTTGAGTAAAATGGGAGAAGACACCAACCTGTAAAACAGAAAGTACTTAGTATCTTCTGGTGCCCCTTTGCCAGGAAGCCAAGTGCAGTGGAGAGAAACAGTGCTAGAAATGGTGAAGTGAGTAACACAGGACAAATCAGTGACAGCTGTATTTTCAGCACCTATAGAAACAGAATTATAAAACAGGAAGAAAATAAACACTTATTACAGAAGCTGAATGAAATTGACACTTCTAAGACAATTTGACTACAGTCTTTTGTCCATTTTATCTAGGTTTTGTCACATGGTTCTACCAGTTATGGAAGGACAGAGATTCCAAAAAATCACCAGTAAGGTTGTACCACACAGCACCATTACGTACTTTCTGTATACCTTGGGGTTCAAGGCAGTGTCATCTTTTGCCATCCTTGAGTGGATGGGAGTAGGTTATCTCAGTTTTAGCAAGTAATGTTTAGAATATTTTAGATGGGTTACCTATGTTGCATCTTCAGATTGTATACCAGGCTCTGGAGCCATACAGAAAGGCCCAGATTAAATGATTTTGTAAAACCATTGTAGCAGGTAGAGCGAGAAATGCTGTATTGTTTAGTATTAAACCTGTCAGCTTCTGATGTCTGCTCCATAGACCAGTACAGAACACAAATTCAGACCTCTTTCTCATTTCTTCTTACCCGGTGGAGGCAGGAGTTCTGCTGTCACCCAGTCACTTGTCATCTGAAGACCCTGATGGAAAAGTAATGTCCGGACATGTGCAGAGAAACCATTGTGAAGTACAGCTGTTTGGAAACTGTGAGTCTTCACTGTATCATACTTAAAAATTAAAAAAAGAAAAAAGGAAAAAAATAAGCAACACAAGATAGAAACTTAATTAAGGGATCTGCTAAGAGTGGTCTACAAAGGATGGGCTTTTAGCTGAGTGCCTCACTACTTGGTTACTTGAAACCATCAGATGCATCCACCTTCTGCTCCCTTGTTGAACTCAACAAGAAGTCAGCCTTCTTAGCACACTGGACTTATTTTTATCTTACCTCTTCGAACACAGGAGTTAAGATTTTCACATCATATCTAATAGTGTAATTCTTTTGTTCCTGATTAGGACTTAGCTTCCAGCTTAGAAGTACTTGTGCTAATGCAGAGACCGTAAGGGTGAAGTTAACAGGTGGGAAAACCTGAACTGTAAGGAAGAAAACAAAAAAATTCTTAGTGCAGTAATCCAGTGAGTTGTTTAAGCCAATACCTATAGATAATGTAATGAGCAATGCAAGAAAACAAAAAAGGATTTCATTTCAATATTATATTCTCTCAATAGTTTCTCTCAAAGCATTTCTGATATTTGAAAAATACATTTAATAACAACCAAAACTTCATCAAATAAGAGTTTACTTAAAACTTAAGAATGCTATGTTTTGTTTTTGTTTTTACAATGGTTTCATCTTTATGATTACAAGAACACATCACATTTGGCTTATTAATTAGATTTCAGGCTTTTCAGTTGGATCCCCTAGACAATTGGGCATCTGTAGTGAGCAGGGTCGATAAGTGATAAGCCAAACAATCCATTCTTATTGACCCAGACTTGCAGAACAGCATGACGTGGGGGCTGTCTACGTGAAGGCTGACAGCCACAAGAAGTCATACGCGAGAGGAAAAAAAAAAAGTATGATGAACAGAGGAATTAGGCATAAATGGAAGAAAACATAGAAAGGATGAGAATGATAATTTAAAATGACAAGGCAAAAGGGATTTCTGGAGCTCTTATGGAAATGAAGAAGATCTCATGCTGGGGAGAAATGTTAGCATATAAATAGCAATGCAGTGAAATTATCAATCTACTCCCTTCCATTTCTAGAGTGCTTCAGAGCCCGTCCTCCCTCATTTGCCATGTCCCAGGCAGCTTTTAATGCCCGTTTGTTCAACTTTCAAGCAAGTGTTTTGCATTAGGGAAACGGCCTCCTGAAGAGTTAGAAAACCCCGCACCAACTGCCCTGAACTGCTTGCTCCAAAACGTTCCTTGTTGAGTTGCCACAAAAAATGCCAACATTAAGGTTCTTGATGTGCCAGGACAAAGACCAGGGCTGCTGCCCACGATGTTCTATGCTGTCTTGTTTCTGCTGATAGGTGCAGTTTTATTCCTGGATGTAAAACTGTCTGGAACAGTGCCGTTGTTGGAAGGAAAAGAACTTACCTGCTTTACACTGAAGTGTGTGTGGCTGGACTACGATTCTTATCCAAAGGAGGATCAGACAAACTCTCATCATGCTGGCCATAATGTCTAGATGGTCAGTGAGAAAAACCATGCATCAGAGTACATGGCTTGCAACCATTTTAGAGACAGGCTGATAGCTAAAACCAAACACAAGCCCAAATGTTAAGCACGCAGACCATAGAGCATGCTACAAGTAATCACAGCTACATGACCAAAGCAATAAAACCTTGCAGGGCACAGAATTTTCTCATTCCCTTGCAGGAAGATGCATCTTGTTGTAGCTAAAATTAAGTACAACTAATCACATCTCACTTTGCTCCCTTTGTTTTTTCCAGGCCCCCTTGAAAAAGCTGCTGTTTTCAGCACTGCCATGCGTGGATGCTCAGAGCAGCAGTCATGGACCTACAGCATCTCTTAGCAGCGAGAGCTGGGTTCAGGTAGGTTGGCTTTTGGTGGAGAGCCATTCACTCCAAGAGCAGAAATAGCTGTCTTTTTAGCTGTCGCTAAATATAAAATGGCTGCTTGCTGGAATTTACTCTCCGGTTTCCATTTCACTACAGAAGCAGTCACAGTGCCCACCTCAAGGCTAATTCTGCAGTGTTAATTATTGGGGGTAAGAGAAACTATTTTGTTTGTTTCTAATTTAAATGAGCGACTATTTTTAATGCTTGAAAACAGCATGTTCTTATGCTTCCTACAGATTGTTTCATGAAGTACTGAGGGAAAAAAAATCTGTGTGTTATCATTCATGTATAACCTAATATAAACAACATGGAAATACAGAACAGCAGCTTTCCAAAATGTTCTCACAGAAGAGAAATACGCCCTCCTTGCCCAATCACACTGCTTCCCTGGGGCATCTACAGCAATTGCTTGTATGAAAAACATAATATTTTCAGACGGTAATGAGCAGAGAAAGCATCTTTAACCCATCAGTTCTCACTGAACCTCCAATAAATAACCCAGGGACTGGAAGCAATCCAATTGATCACAGTTGGAGTACTTCTGCTACACAGTAACTATTTTTAAAAATGGTGTATGAATGCTTAGTTCGTTAAAATGATGCATAATCCACAATGCTGTATGTTTCTTAATGTCCAAGTCTGCTCATTATCTACATTCATTTTCTGTGTGTATCTGGTATTCTGCTAGGCAAAGTGTTCATGAGGCTAATTGATCCTCTAGAGTTTTCTAACAGATTATTCCTGGAGAGTCAGTGCTTGCTTTTGCATAGGTTGGGTTACTGAGACGTTTTGGTCAGATATTTTGGTTCTTCCAGAATATATGTGAATCTCCACCAGGGAACTGTTAACCTATACCATACATTTATGCTTAGACAATGCCCCCAAGATTTTTTCCAATTGCATTACCATTTGTGAATGATATCATACAGTGTGTGATAACAGGTTTGTCTCACGCGATAAGTTCTTGAAAATACAATCAAAAAGTTAACAAATATGTACAAACAAGATTATGCTCCCCACAAAAACAGGTATAGTAAGTTCTCAGGATGAGTAAAAGCCTTGTTTATGGTTTTGGTTATGCACAGTAGAAAGCAGTGAGGAGAAGGTAAAAGATGCATTCCCTTCATGGAAGGGTATATTCCTTCAGAAAGTGCAGTATAAATCTTAACCACAGTGAATAGCTGAAATGGTCGTGATTTTCTTACTTATATGTAAGTATAAGTACTGACACACAAGTTCTACTAAGAAGCAACTGGTCAGGAGCAGATGCACTTCCCAGCATAATGCAAAGATGACTTTTCAAAGCGGGGCCTTGGCAATCTTCAAACAAAGCATAAGAAGACAGAAAAACAAACTGCAATGTAAATCCCAGAAGGTTACCTGCAGAGTCTCCAAAGTTGTGTGAAGAGCCTGCTCTGTTTGTTCAGACGTCCTCTGGGTTGTCTCCCCGTGGGTTCCTTTTGCAACTGCTGTCTTTTAAGTACAGATGTGATAGGTACCTCAGAAATGATAGGAGATGATAAGTTAGACAAGCATGCATTGTAAAAGGGAACTGTAGATTTAACCACAGGATGGAAGGCTCTGTTCTAGCACATGCTTTTACTTTATGTATTGAGGGTTAGTTGTATACCACAGTCTGCAGTCTGATCATTCTCTACTAACTTCTGAAGAGCCAGGAATGTTTAAAAATTCACTGCAAAGAATCTACTTACTGACCAGTGCTGTCATCCCAAGTTGTTCATCCCCTAGGAAATCAAATCCTAATGTTGCTGGAAGACCGTGCAGTATTACCTTGTCCAGTCATCCTGCCATACAGCCATGTGTCTGTCGGTGGTATTGGAGAAATTACTGGCACCAGAGCAAGACCAGCTTCCCAATCTCGTGCAGGGAGCTCTGAGCTGTGATCCATAGGAAGGCTGGATAAGACAGGCTCAAGAGGAGTGGAAAACAACCTAAACCTAAGGGCACAGAGAAAACCCTGCAGAAAGTGAGTCTGTTCATAATAGGCCCAGATAGGCATGGGAGGGGTAATGACATATTCATTAGAAAGCTGGATTGCAAATACAGAAAACCCTTCTAAATGTGAAGGTGATGCAAGCTGGTAGAGGTGAGTTCTTTGGAGACTAGAACTAGATTTAACCAAGTTCTTCAAAAATCAGTGAAAATTGGGCACAGTTCAGCATGGTCAAGCTCTCAACTACATTTAGGTGCTATTAACTGCAAATTACAAGTTATTAGTAACCAACCTGTGATTAGGTATCTGCTCTACAGAAAAGGATCTGGGGTTATGCCAGGTCATAAACGACAGAGGACTCAACAACTGTTGTGCACTTGTGAAAAAGGCGTGCTGGGGCAGCTGGAAGCTGGCATCCTCTGCAAGACACGTGAAGCAATCTTTCTGCTCTGCTCAGCACTGATAAAGCCTCCACTCAATGCACTGCCCTGTGCAGATGCTGCAGTGGAGAAAAAAACGGAGCAAACAATGGGAGGTCAGTTGTACAGTGATGGATGCTATGAAAACCAGAACCACTCCTCAAAGCAAATTAGGGGAATGCACATGCAGAGGTCCAATCTTAGAGCACAGATGAAGGTTTTCACCTGTTCTCCAAGTCCATTGCTTGTGGGGAGCTAGAAATAAAAGGTAATGACAGGTAAAATTCAGGTTAGATGTGAAGGGAACGCATTCAGTGCTGGGGGGGCAGCAGGATGGGAAACTATGGACCTTTAGACAAAGTCAGCCAGGAACCAGGGTTGTAATCAAATCCTGCCGGGAGGCACAGAGGTACGTGAGGTGCCCTGTTTTCTGTATCTGTGCACCCCTGAATAAACAGCTAACTGCTGAGCAGAGCTCTGGCAGCTGCAGCTCGGCGTTACAGCAGAAAAAAGGTTGTTTCTAAAGGTGAGGCAGGATATTTAACAAAAGAAGCAGTCACAAAAAGAACAGGTAAGAAAAGGTTATGTTCTTATGTTCTTACACAAGCCTGACAAAATTACTGTAAATGTGAGACGTTTTTTGCAATAGGTCATTCCCCAAAACCCTTTTGTGCTCGTAAGCACTCTCCTTTCTGCAGCAAAGTGCTGATCTGCTGGGTGCTTGAAAGGCTGAACAGATCTGTGTAACATCTCTTTTCAGGTACAAAGAACCGGGTGCATTTTTGGCCGAGACAGATTTATTCCGGCTTGGAACTTCAAAGGCAACCAAGCTGTGTGTCTGAGCAGTGCTGGCTGAGCTCCTGCAGCACCGCTCTGCAAATCCCACAGATGGGACAGCAGTGTGACGGCAGGGGTCGCAGACGGACGCCCAGAGCTGTGCCAAATCCCGGGGCTTCCACCCAAATATTTCCAAGGTGAACAAACTCAGGAGCTGCTCCCGCACGGCGTTTAAAGCTGTTTCAGGGATCGCTGACGCGACCTCGCAAGCAGCGCATGGATGGACGCGGCGTGGAGGACCCTGAAAGCTTCACAACACGTGGAGGTGTTTGGAGTTGTACCCGAGGAACACACGGTTAGCGGGCACGGCGGCGGTGGGACGGGCTGACAGACAAACCGCAGCACGGGGCGCTACGGCGGGACCGCGGCTACAGAGCGAGGCGGAGGGAGAGCGGCGATGCGCGGAACGGCCGGCAGGGGGCGCCCGTGAGGAGCCTATGAGGGGGGGCGTTGCCGGGTCGCGCCGCTGAGCTCATCGCGCTGCGCCGCTCCGGGGCCGCACGGAGCCGCTCCTCGGGCCTTGCGAGGCCGGCAGCCCGCGGGTGAGTGCGATGCTCCTGCGGGAGGGAGGGAGGGGAGGGAGGACTCTCCCCGCTTCTTCGGGCTGACGCGGCGTTTCTCTGTTTGTCCCCAGATGTGGGCTGAGGTGTTGCTTCTGCCCTGCAGGGCTCGGCTGCTTCCGCCTCTCCGGCTGCTGCACCGCGCGGCGCGCGCCATGAGGCTGCAATGCCCGCAGTTCCAGGCGCTGTTCACACCGGGGCTGCGCAGCGTGGCAGGTGAGGGCCGGGCGGGTCCATCACGGACCGGGTGGTGGCGGCTCCGGGTCCATCACGGACCGGGTGGTGGCGGCTCCGGGTCCATCACGGACAGGGCTGTGGTGGCTCCGGGCAGTTTTGTCCTTGATTGTTTTTTTTTTTCTCCTTGTCAGAATTGTTTGAGAAGAAGAACTACGAGCTGAGAATAGCGGGAGGGGCTGTGAGGGATTTGCTGAGTGGAATGACGCCTCAAGATGTGGATTTCGCCACTACGGCTACGCCCGAAGAGATGAAGGAGATGTTCACGTCTGCTGGAGTTCGGCTGATCAATAACAAAGGAGAAAAACACGGAACCATCACGGCCAGGGTTGGTTTGCAGTCGGGCTGTGGGTTTTCTCTTACAGTCCGTATCAGGTGTGGAAGCTGATTGGATGCTTCCTGCTTTCACGGTCCTGCTTCCTCTATCTGTGCATTCCTTTGCTTTTTAGCCTGCAGAAACCTCCCTGCAGCAGGCTATGTTGAACAGTTATGTGGAAATGAGCTTTGTTTTGAGGTATCTGTGACTTTCCGGGTCAGCTCTGTATGGAAGCACGGCGTGTGTTTGCATACAGTTTGTGCTCAAGTGCAAACCAACGTGGGGCAGGAAAACAGACAGCCTTTATATTTGTATTCACGTTGAAATAACAATCTCTGTGGGATTTTCAGCTCCATGAACAGAATTTTGAAATTACTACTCTCAGAATAGATGTTGTCACCGATGGACGCCATGCAGAGGTGGAATTCACCACCGACTGGGAAAAGGATGCTGAAAGGAGGGATCTGACCATCAATTCCATGTTTTTAGGTAAAATTCTTTCAAAAGTAAATACGTAGATCAAACACTGCTTTTCAAATCGTGCAAGACAGTTTTCCCTCTCGATCTTTTTGCATGTTGTTGGTTTCTACTGCTGTCAGCCAAAAGGTCTGCACAAATACAGCAACCCACAGCAAATCACACCATTTGTCCTCTGCATTTTCAAGTAAGAGTGTTTCTAAATTTCTGTTTTTGATGTTTTTTTCATCTTCTAGGCTTGGATGGGATGCTGTATGATTTCTTTAATGGATATGAAGACTTACAGAACAAGAAGATAAGATTTGTAGGAAAGGCAAGCGCAAGAATACAAGAAGATTATTTACGAATCCTAAGATATTTCAGGTACCAGCTTTCACCTTGTCTGGATGAGGAAATGATATAAGTACTTCCAATGGAGATGTAGAAATGGAGTTTCATGGAGAAGGTTGTGAATCAAACTTCAGACAATGCTTTTTCCTCAAAAAATGATGAAAGAAGCATATTTTGGCTTCTGCTTTCTCTATGCAAGCAAGAAATACGCTGTCCTTTGAAAACAGTCTTTATAACAGTACTGTTTCAACTATAATTTAAAACAAAATAATAAGTTTATTGATGTCCATTTGTGTAACCAACAGAAGTGCAATTACTTTGCCCTAAAGCTTTATGCATTCTGGGAGAGGGGGAGGAGAGTAAATCTGATCAGGATTGATTTATTTGCTCTGGACGGTGTAACAACATAACCTACCTTGTGCCTTTTTCTTTGGCACTGAACTTCTGCAAGTCATATAATCTCTCTGCAGTTTTCTCTTTTAGTACTTTTGGTGAAGGAGCAGGCAGGAGCTTTAAGCTTCAAGGTAGAAAAGTATTGCAGAGAGTTCAGAAACTATGATGTTTTTTTATCCTCTAGTATTTTAATGTAATCAGCATTTGCCATGAGGTTAATTCTATGAATAGCAATAAGAAACGGATCAGCATATTTTAACATGGAGTGGTTTTCTTTGGGCAGGTTTTATGGAAGGATTGCAGAAAAACCTGGCGATCACGAATCAAGCACACTGCAAGCAATTAAAGAAAATGCCAAAGGTTTGGCTGGGATATCAGGAGAAAGGATTTGGGTAGAACTGAAAAAAATTCTAATTGGAAACCACGTAAATCATTTGGTTCGACTTCTGTATGACCTGGACGTTGCTCAGTACATAGGTAAAGTTAAATGACTGTAAATGTTACAGGAATAGGAAATCAAGGAATTGCAGCATGGCAGAGGAGATGAAACTTGTTTGTTTTTACCTCTGTTAATGTCCTTGTTTCTTATTAACGCTTTATTGAACTTTTTCTCTTCAGGTTTACCAGTTAATGGAAGTCTGGATGAACTTGACAGAGTCAGTAAAAGTACTGAAAATTTGTGTCCAAAACCCATGACTGTTCTGACGTCATTGTTCAAGGTGAAGGATGACGTAACAAACCTTGATTTGAGGCTGAAAATCTCAAAAGAGGAGAAAAACCTTGGCTTCTTTTTGCTGAAACACCGTGAAGAGTTAACTAAAGCGACGGGTCCAGAACCACTTAAACCATATCAAGACTTCATAATGGATGTAAGTGTAATTGATACTGCTGTACTTGGCTTTTTGAGTAAACCATGAGTTTCCAGAGTGCCAAAGACAGCCATGGGCCTTACAAGATGAGCAGCCCTTTCACTGTTCATGGCACATTTTGCCAGGATTGTCAAGATGGTGATATTTTCATTAGGAAGATGAGTTGTATTGACAGGAACTGGTAGCCACAGTTAGACTGCTTCCAATGCAGTATCACTACATTAACTGCAGGAATATCATCCAGTATTAATAAAGTCCAGTAAATTAAAATTTTAGGGTTTTTCTCCATTTGTTTTGCATCTAGAGAGGAGAGCAGAAATAGACAAGCATTTCTGCAATGTCCAGTTGTATTTTTGCAGCAACAGAAAAAGATGATGTCTGTTCTTTGGCATAGCTTAGTTTTGCAAGGAGATAAACAGTTTCTTAGCTTTTGTTGTTTGACTATTAAATTTAAAAATATATATATATTAAAATTGAAAACCAATCTTAGCTGATCCAAGCAGCTTGCATTCTCTAGCAACGATTTTACAAGATTTAAAAACCAGTCCGGATAGACAAGGTCATCTGAAACTGTGGCCTGTGAACATAGCTAGGGACTGAGAGTTTGCTGTACTGTCTCAACTGAATTCTCCTACTGCATTAAAGCATGAGACAGGATCTGGACCTCAGAGGACACCAGTTTTTCATGTGAAATTCAAATCCTTCAATTGTGTATTCAGAGTTTGCATAGTGCCTGGAACAGTGGTATGTGTTCTTCACAAAGTACTGTTAAATACACAACAACATCTTCCAGAGTGAATTTAAAGTAATCTTAAAGTGAAGTTCTGCGCTTTCATTGCAATAACTGAGGTGAAAGAGGTCAGTTTCAGCAGAGAGGACTTCCTCCCACAGGGAAGGTATGAGTCCCTCTCCAGCAGTAGGTTAAATATAATGCTTAAAAAGCTACAAAATGAAATTCATGAAGTTTTCAAGCATTTGCTGGACTCGCCAGTCTCAGGCTGAGTTTTAAAACTAATGAGAGAGAGGTGCAGATGTTCAGAGTTTGAATTGTTATCTAGTTTCTCCTAATAAATCCTCTTTTTTTTTCAGTCTAGGGAAGCAAACACTATTTCCAAAATATTAGAACTCCTGAAGTACCAGGGAGAAGAGCAGCTTTTAAAAGAAATGCAGCAGTGGACTGTTCCTACTTTTCCTGTTAGTGGCCATGATTTGCGGAAAATGGGCATAACTTGTGGGAAAGAAATTGGCTCAGCACTACAGCAGTTACGGGAGGAATGGAAGAAGAGTGGGTACTGCATGGATAAAGAAGAGTTGTTAAGTTGTGTGAAGAAAGTGTAAAAGGTAACAATAAAGGAGAAAATGTTTTGCGCTATCATACTGCAGGTTGGAATGTGTGTAAAGCATGTTCTGTAACATGGGATTCTAGGGGAGGCAGGGAGAGAAGTTGGTTCTTATATCCAAACTTGTCCTGACCCAAAACTGAAATCCCCTGGCTTAAATAGTGGCCTGTCGACCTGGAAAGAGACGACAGCTGTTCCTCATTTCCTGTGAATCAGCTGCAAACTCAGCTGCAAACTGTTAGCATGCTTCTGAGCTTTGCCTCCAGAGCATTTATAAACACACTGAGGAGGAGTAGCTCCACATGGAGCCCTGAGTAACTCAACAGTGATCGCTTACCAGCCTGCAGTAAGTACACTTTCTTTCTGTTTCTCAGCTCACCATGGTGGAGTAGGCCAAGGGCTGCACTGGATTTGCAGGCACAAATGCAGTGGGTTCACATCTTCAGTATACATTCATTACTGGAAACTGTTTTCTATACATCTATGAATTGTGGCATGCTCTGTTAACTGTTAAGTTTACAACTCAGCCCTTTTCGCAGTTCACCTTGGGGAAAGTGCAGTGCTGTATTTACAGCTTGTACAATAAATAAGAAGTATACATGGGAACACGGGCTACACTTAAAAGCAGAATTCTTATTCTTATGTTACTTTGCCATATTACAGAGACACAAGTGGTTCACTAATTTGAATGAGGCTCTTGAGGAATTAGGGCTCTAATTGTTTTTTGATGGCAATACCAGCCTTCTCCTCACATACGGTAACAGAGGTAACGTTGGGTAGGGAGAAACAAGAGCATAGAGGAAAACACAAACTGTTTGCATGGAGATGTGTCTCAATATTCAGACACAGCTCAAGCTTTTAAGTTTAGCACTCTAAAAGCAACATTTACCAGGTCTAGAAGAGCACTCTAAGATTCAGAATGCAGGAGCACATATCTTATGTCAGACCCCTTTATCATTTCTCTACAAATGCTATAAAGCTGCAGATAACATCCACAGGTCTCACCTAGTCTTATGTCAGGGCTTTTTCAGCTGATAGAACATTCTTACAAACCAAAATAAATCAGCAAATCACACAGAATATTGTGGTAATGAAATCACTCTTTTTTGGCCCTTAAAAGATTCTCCCAGCTTCAACAGGACAGTGCAGATTGCTATTTAACACAGCAATGGTGGTAGTGTGACTAACAGCAATCCTCATTGCTGGGCTGTGCAAGGGGACAAGGATTTAAAGCTCTGACATATCAGGTTATGAAGAAATTATCTGAAAAGACAATAGCTCTCCAAAAGTCTGAAATTCAATTCAGCATGCTCCACTACCTGCGTACAGCCTGAACTTCCATCCTATAGCCCTATTTAGTCACTGTACCTTCAGATGAAGCTATACCAAAAGAAATACGAGGCCAGTGGAGACAGGTCCCCAGGCAGATGCTCCTGCCTTTGTGAGAAGCTGTATAGCAATACCCATCGTAATCAACAGGCTTCACCCCTAGCCTGAACAGACACCTTGGGTCACAGGGCTGGGTCCCACTGGCAGGGCAGCAGAGGTGCTGAGCCAGTCATCACTCTTAACCTCCCATCACTTTCTGAAAGCACTGCAGTTTAAAACCTGAACAGCGTTAGACCAGACATTTTCTTTCTTCCCACTAGTCAGCAGAAACCGTGTCCACTAAGATCAGTTTGAAACAAATTGAATTTTATTCTTTGCAAATGTTTGCAAGCAACGAGATTTTCCTGAAAACTTGTCCCAAAAGGCAGACAGAGGAAGAGTTAAAGCAGAGAATGTGCTACGCCTTCCGCAGCTTGTACAAAGCAATTAAAGGTGATCAACAACAAAAGGAACAAAATGAATTGCAGTGCATACAAAAATAGCATTATTATTAGAAAAAAAAAAAAAAAACAGCTAGAACTTCTTAGACCAGGTGTGCAAGTATCCTGTTATCATTCTACGTAGTCATCAAAACTAAGCTATATGAAAAAAGCTTGCAATATTACAGGCTCTGATTGTATGACATTGTTATGCTATTGCAGCAATACTACAAAACACCTTCAATCCTTTCATCAGACCAAGCAAGGCTGTGGGCTGTGCTACCAGCATGCCCATCCGGCAGCTGTGTAATTCCCAGCTCTCCCCTAATAAGAGAAATGTAAGAGACATTACAGTGGGAGAAAAACTCTCTTGGCAGCAGCCAGCACATCAGTTGGATTAATTACAGCATGAAGCCACGTGCCAAACACTGAATGTAGTAAATATAGCTACTACTATAAGATATGCTGATTTTCTTCGCACTTAGCTCTTAAAAGCTTATGAAGGCCGTATTTGCCAGTGATAAATTTCCACAATCCCAACATTCTAGTAGTTTTCTCTCCAAAAAAAAGATAAAAGAAGCATAGAGAACATTCATCAATATATTGAGCCTTCCATGATTCTACATTCACACTGGAAGTCGCATGCTGGCTGTGCATTTTGTAGCACTTTAACTGTCAGCTTCACTATGACAGGATTCCCCAATTTTGCAGCAAACTGAATTATGCTTGTCTTCAACCAGCAGAGTCATAGACTTACAAATGGGAAACAACTCACAGAAGGTTAGGCAGATGAAAAATCATCATCAACACTAAGATAAAGTTAGTGCTAATTTACTTGTGAGTTGTCTCACTTGGTAATATTAGCTACACTTGACTATATATATATATACACACACACACAATACCAAAAATATGCCCATTTTGTATTTAAGCACTGTGAACATAATGCCTTTTTTAATTCAGGCCATCTGAAAGACAGCCAAAACCCAAAACACCTTGTGAAGTCCAGAGAGAGCTGAGAAAATGATCATCCTGGAAGCCTCACCTACTGAAAGCAAATGACAGCAGAAGATACTTGAGTATCTCAGTGGGAAAAAAACGATCCAAGCCTACAGCTAAGCCACGTGTGGCTCTGTGTGTGTGTGTCTCCGTATGCAGGGAGTGAGGGGGAAGCTAAGTGTGATTCTAGTGGTTATCTAGCTACAGACATTTCACAGTCTCACATACTACTCCTTATTTTAGTCTTTTGAAAGCCTATTACATAACCACAATGAACGTTTTCTGTAAGAAAATGAGCGCATTCACCCCCTATTTGTTCAGAATTCTATTCAAAGAATTATTGCTTTTCACAGTTCACTGGCAAGTCAGAGTACTGCACAGATAATTAAATATGGTATTAAAGATGTCTATGGAGAAAACCAAAGTTATTACAGAAGCACAGAGGTAGAAGGCTTCAAAGAACTAAACCTGAGTTACACAACCATTTCTTTCTACATACATAGCATTATATCCTAACAGCCTTTCAGCATCTGGCATCTCTTCCCATCTGGATTTTTCCTAAGCTGTCTGTCACAAATACTACTTAGATGAGGTCAGATCACACTTGTCTTGCAGAGGTCCGACCTTAGCCTCTCAGTGCAGTAATCTGTCCATGCTACATGTCTGATGTGACTGGGAAGGAACAATTACTGGGTTATATCTTCAACCTTAAGCAGTATTCTCATAGTATTTAACAATGCAAATTCTTGAAAATGTACACAGAAGATGCAATAGCTTCAAGATTAAAAAAAAAAAAGTGTGTATGTACACTCACAAACTGATGAAATCTTGCCGTCTTCAGATTCTGCATTTGTTCTGAGGGGAAAAAAACAACCAAGCAGTAGCAAAAGCTGCCCCCTTTTAGCATCCATTTGTGTAGCACAGACAGAATTCCAGGAAACAAACAAACTGAAAAAGAGTGGGGGGAGAAAAGCACTGTCAGTTTGTTTCTTTAAGGTAAGGTGATAATGTAAAATTTTACCTTATGATACTAAAGCACTGAAGGAAAATAAGATTAGCTGATTCTCCTGTCAAAATATGTATTAGAGAAAAATCTCCAGTTAGGTATATTAGAAAATACTTCTTCAGGGAATCCTAGGCATGCATTCCTGTAAGCTTATCTCCCACTGAAATTATTTTGAAAAATACAGAAATTACATTCAAAAGTAAACAATAGTAAATGACAATGTGTTTTATGTTCTGGAACTGATCACTATATTCTGTATAAATAATTTAAAATTTAAAAGACTTCTAAAGTCAGAAATGCTCAATACACCAGAGAACTTCTAAGGACCAAATATTTTATATAAGCTCATTTCACAGGGAATTTTCTGGCACGCTTGTTCTAGCTGCACCCAGCAGTCAGCTCTGCCAGTTACACCACTGCTACTGACATCACCAACACAGAATCCTTCAGCCTATTACTCTCTTTGATGGTTATTCAGCAAATATTTCATGAACATCACAAGATTAAAACTGCAAGTATTTCACATAGTTAGGAATTCTCATCGTAAACACATTTTAAGTAAGGGAAATATCCTGCAATGAGATACTGGTATCTAACATCATATGTTGCATAATTATACTCTATTTCTTTCACTGCAGGCTGATAGCAGCAAACATTTCCTGAAATGAAAGTTCAGACAAAGTAGAAAGTTCAGAGTCAAGTCCAAATGAACTGATTTCCTGGTGTCTTGTGCCACCTTCTCTCCACAGCTGTCATTCTTCAGTTCTCAGCTTGTCTGACACAACAGTAACGTGGATGCACACCGAACGCCAAAGGCGAAGCTTTCTTTGCGTGTGGCTGTGAGTTCTGTTGGTTTTTAAGTGAGCATCAAAAGCAGAACTAAGCAGATGAATCTAAGAGACAGAGTACTCCCTGTTCATCTCCAAAGCAGGGTACTGGATTACAAGCAGAGTAATGGAGATCTGTCGTGGCCCAACTCGTCCTCTGCTTCTGGAATCCGAGGCAGGAGAGCAGACCGTGTCAATCCCCAGAATTTCTGTGGTGACATATCCTTTTTGGTAGCTGTGAACTTCCATCCCATATGGTTCCCACAGATTCTGCACTGCGCTATAGTCCAGGCATACCTGTCAAAAAAACCAAAAACCTTCAAGGAGAGAAAGTACTTAAAGCATTCAGGATAGAAGAATGATTTTTGATAGTATGTCACAGAAGGGACCACACAGATAAGTGATTTGTTAAAAAAACAAAACTATAAAGAATGGTTTTGTGAAACTGTAATTCAAACACAATTTGACATTTCTACTCTTTTTAGGAGGTCAAGTATTTAAAGTTTTGAATGTATACTTGAAGCATGCTTATCTAAAGCAAAAAATCACTACCGGGGAAGGGTGGCATTTTGGCACAAGACTATTACATTATGCAGATTTTTACATCTTGACAATTAATTCTGCTTTTTTTTCCAGATAGCAAGACCATTTAAAGACTCAGTGGTAATCAGTGATTCAGTGGCAATCAGACTAAGACAAAGTTAGTATAAAATACTGGAACATTCATGCAGTTCAGGTCTTAAAAATAAAACAAAAAACCTCAGTAAAGTAACTGCATTCATGCATTGTGTTTCCCATAGTGGAATAGAAAAATTTGCAACCAAATTTATGTCACTTATTATTAGCTGAACAGTATTACCCAGGAAACCAGCTGTGTTCTGTTGATGGTCGTCCACTGAGATTCAAATTGCAGGCTTTATATACAGTAAGAGTTTCATGGATGTAACCATGAGGATTCACATATGCTGCCATGGGTCCACATAAGGATAAACTGTAAAACACGATTAAAAATTTTGTCAGAGTTCGAGAAAAGGTGTTCAAACATACACTGCCCAAGTAAGGATTACAATATTCTCATGTTCAGCTGCACTTTGCCCAGCTGTTTGTTAAAGGTAACGAGTTATTAGAGAACACCTGATAGGATGTTGTTATGGGATCTACCCCATTTAAAGTGGTTATAGTAACGTTTCTCTCAAAACCCGAGTCTCTATCATGTGCTTTACCTGATTAGGAGCAATAAACTCACCTGAATATTTCATTCTTGGTTGTTATTTCTGTATCTTGGCATTGCTTACAACAAAGAGATGTACACTTGGAAAAGAAAAAAGAGGATAACTTCATTCACTTCCAGATACTTGTCAGCACAGTGGCAAATAACATTTCTCTTCTCTCAGAATGAACTTTGTACTGATTCCTTTGTTTATCTGGGCAGCAGTCACTTATGTTTTACTCTTTATATCAAAGGATAAAAATTTGTATGCATTTTACTTGAGGCAATCGTTAAGATTAATTTTTAAAAATCTACATACTTTTTTAATCTAAAAAAATCTGAGTAAGCAATAAGAGTCAAATTGCTAAAATCCTTAAATGCTACTTTAGAAACAAAAAACAACTTCGTTATCTGAGATATAACACAGAAAAGGTAGAATGAATACAAATGTAATCAGTAAAGTTTTTCTAAAATTTGAGAACACTGTAGATCAATTGTCTCAGATTAATCAAGATAAATACATATGCTACATTGACCTTTGTCTTAATTGTGATGACAGAGTAATTTATCTCCTACAATATTTATAAAGCAGAACCAAACAATTTATCACTAACACTGCCAAGAAAATAACCATTTAAATCAGCTTAGTAGAAGGCTTTATTACTGTTTTTCAGGAGGTGCACTGTGATGAATGTATTACCAAAACTTGGTCTCTCTAGTCAGAAATTCAAGAGTGAATATTCTTGCTACCAACTACCAGACAGATACTACCTATATTGATGACTCTCTCAGTTTTTTCTCTTTGGAACACGAGTAGCAATCTGAAATGCTATTGGAAATACAGAAAGATGTTGCCACTTCTGTTTCTAAAACACATGGATTCAACATGAGGTCCAATACTTGTATTACAAAATAACAGTTATATTATTAAGCAACGTACTATGTAAAAATAAAATGATGTGACCTACACTTAGAGCATTATATGGATACGGCAAGAAAAAAAGATCACTTGTTTTAAAACATCTTTGAAAAGTTATCACTTAAGAAGTCAATGTATATCTTGTGCTTAAAAAAAATCCTTTCAGTCTAAGATTTATACTCAATAGCTCGATACTACAAAGTTTTATCTTTTGACACAAAATGCAGAAGTCTTCACAGCACAACACTGCTTCATTGCAGTACGCTATTCTGGCAATATGGTGTCCTGATGTTCAAAAGGTTGGTAACAGAAAGACTGGACTTACAGCGCCATCTCTTGGAGAAGGCACTGCAGCACGGTGTTGAAATATGATTTTTAACAAAAACAAATAGGATTCTTGCTGCAAAATAAGTCTAGAATTTAAATCAGTTTCTTCCTTGAGCCAACTTTTCAAGGCAAAGGAAGAATAAAAACTCCCAAGCTCACTCCCCAGAAGTATTACTTGTTACAGTAGATAGTAAGTTTTGTGTTTTTTTTAATGGTGGTGAGAAGAAGAATTTTAAACTAAATAATAGGTATAACAATACTCACTTTGTTCATAATATCTAATTCACACCGGAGTCGCTGAATAGCACTACCTATTTTAAGCAACTGTATGCGTAAGGCATCATCAATTGGCAGGCAAGCAGCAACTCTGTAAGAAAAATCTAGAAATGAGAAAGTAGCAGGCCTGTTAGAATTTCAGAAAGAAATAAACCTACCAGTTCTACTCAGTTACAGATTGAGAGCTAAAACGTAGCTTTATAATGGATTTTCAGAGTTCATGTCTGTACATCCAGAACAGACACCTGGAGAAAACTTTAAAAATCTCATATGCTTTCAGCTCATTTTCGTATGAAACATTTAAATCACATTCCCTCTGTAAGGAGCACAAGAGAGTTTTATTTCTTTTACTAAGAGCGTTTTAGAACAATTGGAGGATATTCATTTCTTTATAAGTTCTTGTCAAAGCTAATGACAACATCAGCTACCGATATTTACTCAACTGAAGTGAAACTTTAGAAGTCAGAAATAGACTGTCAGTAGAAAGTAATTATCAAACTCTTATGGTCTTAGGATTTTTTTTTCCTAATTCTACTTCCAGTTCATGAGCTAAAGATCATACCTATCGGGTTTGTTGGAAGAGACTCATCTTTAAGATTTTCATCCCATTCGTGTAGCTGCCTCTTGACTCTTTCCATCAAGGTTTCCTTTTGTTAGAAAAAAAAGCCTAATATAAGTACATAGGTATTTCTGTTTTCTTAGAAAAAGGAAGCAAAATGTACAGGAAGCTATTTTCCCCAGTGGACATGATATAATTCTTGTAAGTCTTAAATGCTAACTACAGACACTTCATACCTCCATGTCTTAAGCTAAGAACAAAACAAGATGGGAAAGGGGCAAAAAACAACCAACAATAGTTCTGAATCTCATCTTCATCTGAGGTAAGAAGATAACTATTTAAACTCTAGACATGTATAGACCCGGGCTAAGCAGAATTAGCCTCTTCCATCTCTGATCCTTTATGTATTAAATACACATTTCCACATAAGCATATGAAGAAAAATACAAGTTTTTTAAAAAGTAAACTGACTCCAACAGGAAAGACCCACCTGAGACTATCAACTGCTGTGCTGGTTAGGACACTCATCTGGAGCACGCGGGCCAGAAGATTGAGTTTTCTGCTCCAAGACACCACAGCAGGAACCTGAACCTCAGTCTTCCATCCCAGATGCACACTCTAGCACCAGGGACTAACTATACAGAGGGGAAGCCTTTACAACTCTTACCAGTAAACTACCAGTTGTATCCTTCTTAAAATACACTTATGAGCCAACAAAATAAAACTTAGTATTACCCAGTAAATAGATATAAAAAACAAAATATATATTGTTTGGTAATACTTACAGCATCATATAAAGAGTAAAGCCAGGGAGGCCAAGACGTCAGACTGGCACAGTGAAACTTCCTCTGAAATCCAAATCAGAAACAATTTTTATTTAATATTAGCAGATTTTACCAATGTGTGTCTCTTGTTTGTGTAAACCAGACATCTGATTATTTAAGGACACAACAATTATCACCATCACTGCTAATATTCCATAAGGCTTCTGAAGCTCTTCTAAATGCACTGAGCACTACAACTTTTGTACAAGACAGACAAGATATGGGTTTTCTCAGAAAATCTGTCTCAGCATTATAAGTACTTTCACTACTTAGTAATAAGGAATTACGCCTTTCAAAAGAATATCTGAAATCTAGATGGTTCAAAAATGTAAGTGCAATTAAATAATGCATCTTGTTTCTCCATCGGTTATTGATGTCTCAGCAAACACAGCAATTACTGATCCTATGGTAAGGTGATGAAAATATTTCGTATCAATTCATTCAAATGAATAAATACATAAAATGAAAGAAAGAGATCAATGAGCAATATCAAGTATCTTAAGCTGACAAAGACAAATTCAAAGAATATATTCTTAAAATGGAAAACTGGTGTGTTACAAACAACAGGGCTAGTTAGGAATTCGAGAGGAGGTTTTCTCACAACAGAGCCATTACCAACAATGAAAACTGTCATGCTACTTAAAGTCAGGATGTTTTTCTGATCTACCTACAAACAAAAAACACTTGCTGTTTTTTCTACCCATGCTTCATCATCTATAAGCTTTAGCAATTAGCATCATCTCTGACGCGTTTATGTATAAATTAGTAAACAAAGGAAACTCATATACAGCATGCATTTCCCTACTGTGGATAGCTGATAAATAATCACACAATCTGTTATTAAAAAAGAAAAAAAAACAGGAGCGTGGTATCCAGCATCCCAGTTGTGCATCCACCTCTGAAGATGAACAGATGGAATTTAATACCGAAAAATATAAAACAGTAATAAGAAACAAACAATTTGCTTCCAACCTTCTGATATTTCTGCCACCACTGACGGAAAGCTCGATCCTGCCACATTGTGGGTTTTGAGGAAGGAAATATGTGATGTCGGCTGAGAGACTGCAGCTGTACTGCTGCCATTGTTGAAGGCAGCACTCGCTCAGGAAGGATTTGCACTTTAGCCTGTTGGATTCTGATAAAAGAAAAAAACCATAGAGATATACACATACACAAGAGCATCAAAAATGAATTTTATTGCTTACCAATACATGGTACTACAGAATTTAAGCAGGAATCTATTATATCAGAGTTTATGTACTAACATAAATCAAATTGCCTTAGGAAACATGCAGCATATTAACAAACCAAGCACATACTGCTCTAAAACAGGGACTCGCACCCTTGGCTAACTTGCTGAAATGCTGACTGGATTTTGGTGTACACTGAAATTTAGTACACCTAAAATCAAAGTTGAAGCAATGAATTATAGATTCTTCTATCCTTAATATGCCTTTAAAAGTCAGAATTAGCTGCTTCCCAAATATTTTTTGCACTGGCCTAGAGAACTGCAATTTTTTCAGCAAAAGTTACTTGCTGTTTTTTTTTTCCTTTCTCAGTTAACTTCCTTTTCCATGAGATACAACAGGATGCCTTTGTGTTTTAGAACACAGGTTAGCTATTGGATTGTGGCAGATGGAATTAAAGTCTGACTGACAACGGCTACACACTACAATATTCTACCATCTCAGCATTGGATTTTCAGATTTTTGTCTCCTCAAGTTACCTTTGGTAATAAACTAACAGTCAGCTGTTACATACCAAACCCTCAGAAAGGAAATTTAGCTGAAATGCAGTTTGCTATCTTGAAACCATAAAAGCTTATGTGCTTAGCTAGAGTTCAAAATCAGCAGAAATAGGATATAGACTCTAATCATCCTTTGATATCCTAGCATCAACCAGGTCACCTATTCCACTGTGTCTGATAACCGTTACACAGCTACCAAGAATACTACCTGGAAGGAAGGAATTTAATTTTTTTCAACAGAGATGCTGAAATATAAGATGCATATCATTATTTTAAGGTGCTTTTATGTTTTACAAAAGGAAAAATGAGCAAGAGAAGTGACTTATTCCTCCATTATTATTACCAGCCTCCAGTCGTCCCCAAGAAAACCACCCCTCTTGGGATCAGTTACTGTCCTCTCCATATCTGAATCATGCAGCTGGATGCTTCTGTACATTGTTCAAGCTCCGTAGTTAAAAGATCACTCAGAATAGAAAAAGGGCAGGCATTTTGTTATTAGCTGTATTGTCAGACTGTTGCCTGCAGCAGTTTAGAGCTGCAACTGCACATGAAGTTCAATGGAACATGTCCTATGCAGACCTCTAGAGAGGACTTCAGAAAATGCAAGTTACAGGTTTTCAGAGGTATGGAAGCTGGCATCAGGGAGGCTTTCCACGAGACAACACAAGGCACACGCTCTGTGAGAGAGGAGAGCCTCCTCTCATTTCACATTTGGTTTGAAACATGGATGCGAGAGATATTTCCAGCTGAATTTTCAGAAACAAAATAATTCTGACAGATACTTGTGCACGTGTGTTAAATCAAACTACAGGCTGATGTTACTTAGAGAATCTCAGAGCAAAATTACTACAACTAAAACACATAGCTGAAGAACCTGCTGATTAAGTATAAAAACACTAATGAGCCAATTGTGTGACTGAAAGGCCACATGCAGCAGCAACGAAAGATAAACATTTTTGGTCAAACAAGATTTGCAGTATGTAAAATCAAAGACATTATTTTCTTACCCGTCTGACTGGGTTCGTATTTCAAGCACTTTGAATCTCTGTCTTCCTATTGCTTTTACTTTGACTGTTTCAATTCCATATTCCTGCTCTTCTCTGTAGGCATATATTTCTGCTGTTGTTCCAAAATGTGCTTCCCTTTCACGTACGTTACTAAAAGCAACAGAATTTTAAAAGTTAACTACCCTAAATAGGATTGTTCAGATATCTCAAGTTAATCTACCTGCACTGACTGTAAAATCTTACCACCCAGCCTTAATCAAAAAGCTAAATGTGGTAAAATGCCTTCAAACTGCTGCAAACATTGTTTCTCCATTTTAAAAGCTAATTCTAATGTTGGTGTGATCTTTTTCTATTGCTATTTGGTTTTATTTTAAGGAGGTAGAAGTAAGAATCTAGAAATACAAGGCTCGCCAACTTGAAAGGCAGACTCTGAAAGTACCAAACTTCTTCAGACTGACTTTCTAAAAATAATTATTCCCACTTCCTACATAATTAAACCACAGTAAATGGCGAGTAAGAGGGAGGAATGCTCCCTCTTCTTTTGGCACACACGAGCCTTTTCCACTTCTCTACCATCCCATGTGCCTCTACTGTCAAACCTTCATCTGTGCTTACTTATACACAAAGCAAGCAAATACACCTCTATGGCAATACAGTTTCAGAACAAGGATCAAATTTTTACATTTCAGACCAAGACTGCTCTTAATAAAATGAAGGCAATTCAAACAGCAAAATTACAAGAGTGCTCAAACAAGGACACTTTCTGCTTTTCTTAATTAAATGTGATGCTGTCACAGAGCTACTTCTCATGGTGTGCTGGAAGAATATTTTTATCTAACAATTTCAAACCACAATTTAGTTTTCACCACAGAACTGATGCAATCATCTGCTTTTGATTTACTATCCAAAGAAATTGTGCTAAAAACACATGCTGCGTACCATCAGTAAACTCACTCGTGTATTTTACCTGTATGCAAGAACAGCAAATGTTCTGTCTTTCTGAATTAAATTCCGCACCATGCTAACCTCTTGAGGGTGAAAAAGCTGAAGAGGTAACGTCTGTCCAGGAATCAACATCACCATCACGTGGGGCAACACTGGAATCACCTGACAGCTGTCATCATCGTGCAGTGTTCTCCCGTGAAACTCTTCCATATCAGAACCTAGATACTGAACACAGTAAGTCACACTAAGATCCATGATAAAATAAAATAAGAGTCAAGGTTTTTACGACAGAATTACGCTGCTTTGAAACATATTCAATGGAAGATAGGTAGAGAAAGACATACCACGTGTGATGTTGGCAAACTGGTGTCAAAATTAATCATGTTTGGCTTCTCAGCTTCTTTACCATCTTGATCTTCAACTTCCATTTCATTGTCATCCTCTTCCTCGCTCTCTGCTAATAAGCACATACAGAACACTGTGTGCACATCAACCAGCACAGATGAAAATACTGAGAAAAATCAGAGAACCACAGAAATGCCTTCAATATCCCCAGGCTATTGCCTTTCACTGGGAAGCAGTTTTGCTGTTGGTAAACAATTTTCTTGTTGTTATAGCAAAATCACTGCATTGTAGAAAGACTCAGAAGCAGGTGATGTATTTTTGAACAGCTCAGGAACAAGTTTTTTGGGCAGCTGATAATGCACAAATTCTGCCGGTTCAGATTTTTACTTCAGAAGTTGTTTTCTACTTCAGTTCTGAATGCCTTCTGCCTGCAACACAAGGATGCCAACCAACTGAATTTCCTGTAGGAGGCTAAATGCACCACCTGAAGTGGTACAAAACGGAACAATACAACTAAGTACATAAAGCAATTGAGCTACAAGCAACCTGAAGCTCTGTACTCAGGCAAATACTCTTGCTGATGTTCCTAGACAAATTCACTGCTCAATCTCTCCTCTCCGTACACCAAACACGATTACAAAAGCAGCACTGCACACACAGAAAGGCCCAAACTGCAAAGGAAGGCAATATTATGACTCTAGAGAGAATTTCAGGTACAAAATAGTGTTTAGAAATTACTATTTCCATGTCATTTCTAGCCCTAGAAAGCAATTTTGGGATGGATTCCAAGCAAGAACACAACTAAATTACCTGCACGTTTTATTTTGCATTTATCAGTATAAAATCCATATGCATGTTTAGAAGTAAATAAAAAAATCATACTGAAGATAACAAATGAGTTGTTTCTAAAACGCTGGTTTCACTGTCCATGCTGTGAATTATAACGTAGGCCTGTACATTCACCCAAAACAATACAATGTGATTACTGCACATAGGTGACTGTATTACTCCATCCTATTTCCTTACACTCCAAACACCTATAATAATTATACACCCCTAGATCTAAAACAGATGTTATAAACCTTGCAACTTCTGCAGGATTCTTACATCAGCAGCTGCTGAGTAATGGACAATCCCAACAGTGCTGTTTCTGTTTCTGTTTTAACTCACTACAGAAAACCCAAAAACCTGCATGCTTTACAGCACTGCATACTTTGTCTCTAGGAGGAACAGCACAACCCACTGATGTTCAAATCCATCCTGCATTGTATTCATCTCAAACAGAAATGATCCAGTACTACAAGAAAATAGGTTAGAGACTCTCTTTGGCATTTTATTAATTAACTTAAAGCAATAAGACACCACTTCCTTCATTACTGTAAAAAAATATTAATTTCTGCATAATTTATTTATTCTGTGATATGCAGTTAGAAATCCTAAACATAAGTGATTGCAAAAAGTTTACAATGTAGAAGAGGGCCATCACTCTCTAGCCTGATGGAGGGGCAAAGCAGGAATTTTTTGGGTGGTTCTGGAGCAGCACTGTGGGCCAGGGGGGAGGGAAGCCACCTCCATCAGAAACTGCATCCTAGTTGACTTGCACTCATTAAGTTGTATGAATCATTAGCACTTTTAATAGCCTGCTAGAGAAAGGCAGTTTCATTTGCTTTTCTGAACACAATAGGAATTAACAGTCGTTCATCTGAGAGTGACTGCACCCCGCAAACTTTTGCATGTCTTGCCAAAATCACACCCTAACGGCTGTGTGGTGACAGAGGCAATATGGAAGGCTGGGAGAAATGATGACTCATTTCACTGCAGCAGCAGCACCATGAGAACGTGGAAAAAACACCATCCTCACACTCCTCCTCGGTCACTCTACAGGAGTGAGAGATGGACGACAAAAGGAACTGTATCTTCATCACTTTTCACTGTGTTTTAGTTGATTTTTTAATTTCTCAATTAGCGAGAGCTCAAGTGTGAGCACGCTCTCACTTCCCTTGGTGCAGGCTGGGCACTCTTGGATGCTCATCCTGACCCACTGCCAACATCTCTGTGCGGAACTGAGGAAATACAAACCTCATTTAACAAAAAAACATACAGGGCAGGAAATACTAAGGCTGACATTTTTTACATTGTTTGAAACATACAGGTGTAACATTCTCCTACTTATTCCCTTCCACAGCAAATTACAGTGGTTACTGGCAAGATTGACTCACCACGAGGTACACACTTCTTCTGAAATAATATATATATATTTTTCAGTTTAGCAGGAGTTACTTCCAGAGCCAAAAACATGAGCACACGTCAGTTTGGACGCACTACATTCTAAATAAACAATAAAAAATGCACCTTGTTATGCAGCAGGCACCTACACGAGGAGTTCTGCTGTTTCTGTGGGCAGACAAAGCAGGCTGCTGTGCAAACTGCTCTGGCAAAGGGCACCGTGCAATCCAGCACTGCTCTCCTGGGTGCCCTACAAAGCACCCAGCTGGAGCCGAACCTTTCCAAACCAGCAAACAACTCCTTCCAATTACATTTGGTTTCAGCGTGACCCAAATCTGGCAAGCAGACGATCCGCGTTTGTTAACTTTTGGAAGCCTTACATCTTCTCAAACACCCGACCAGCTGCATGACGCCCAGTTCCTCAGTGCCTTCACCCGCTGCAGAATTACACCCACAGTCAACAAATCGCTGCTCGGCAATGACAACCCCCTGCCAACACGAGGCAACCAGAGATGGGCGAGGCATGGGAGAGGCCTGCGCCGACAGCCCCGGGCAGCAAGCAGCAGGCCGGCCCGCACGTCCCGGGCCTGGCGGTACCGGCGGTCCGGGCGGCTCCAGGCCCGCCGCCGGCACTCGGCACCAACGGCCCGCCGTCCCCTCCGCCCCACAGCCGCCTCCCCCGGCTCCTCCCCCACCCCCCACAGCCGCCCCCAGCCCTGCCCCCTCCTCCCCCATTACCAGGCACCAGCTGCAGGTGGTTCCCCATGTTGTTACGGCGTCCGCCGCCTCCTTCCTCGGCGGCCATCGCTGTTTACCTGGAGAGGAGCCTGGGAAAGGGGAGGGGTGGCGGGAGGAGGAGCCGCTGGGCCGGGAGCCGAGGCGCTGTGGAGCGGCCCCTGGCGGCGCCGGGCCGGGCCGTGCTCGGAGCCGGGCTGTGGGGGCCGGGCCGGGGCAGCGCGGCTCTGCCTCACAGCTGTGCTCCCCAAACAGCCCCTGCAGATCAGCCCCGGGCGAGAAATTCCTGCTTTTCTCACTAAATGCGTCTCATGTTCCTAAAGCAGTGTCCTCCCCTAGCCAGGAACACAGTAAACGCAACGTATTTTTCATAAAGCGTTCAAAGAGAAACGTATTCTAGAGATAAATGGCCCCAATAACTGCTGGCAGCAGCTGTCAGACCTGGCTCTGGGCTCCTCAGCATCACGGGGAGGCATTTCAACGTTATCCATACGGCGTTAAAACGAACAAGATTCAGTATCACATTTGCCAAAAGGAATGTGTTACAGATGCCCCTGTTGAGACACCAAGCATTCCTGAAATGAGCACTCAGTTCTTCAGACATTGCATTATCTGCATCAGCTCGGTACGATACACACCACTCCAGCATTTTGTAGCTACATGCCATAATAAAATCCAACAAATACTTCTGTAGACATACTGAATTGCAGTCCAGCAAACAAATATTAAGAAATTGTGACCCATTTCTTCTACAAACCCTAGCATTTGATTAGAAAAAACAGTTACAAAATATAATTTTCACTCTTTCAGCATGCTAATACAGCTGGATTTCTGTTGTTGGGGTTTTTCTCTTCACATAACTGCAAAGGATACACCTGAGTCACGCTCTTAAGCATGTTTCCAGAGTGATGAAGGATAGAACTTATTTTTTTAATGGCTGCAGAGTTTCTCAATCCAGATGACAACGAGGTGTTTTGTTTTGTTTTTCAGTGAAATATTATATATATTTAACAAAAATTAAAATGACTGCTGGAAATTCTAGGACCAAAACCCAGGAATTCTTATTTTGGATGAGATCACATCTTTGTGATGTTAACACTGCTAAGAGCTATATTTGTGTGCAGAATGTACAGTTCTAGCTACTGCCTTAATCCTAAGTCTAATACTGCAGATTGGATATAAATTCTGATTTAGTCTGTGACTATGAATTATCTACATTAATATCCACCAGCTTTTCTTACAAAGGCGTAGTGAAAACAGAGTGAATTCTTTTCTTAAGATAAGTGATTTCTGTTGGGTTACAAGTTATTATTGGGACATTTATTTTATTGAAATACTCTGAGATGTGATTAATTTTAATTTTTTAACCTAACAGTCTTAGAAAGTACATTTAATATATGAGTGTTTGGCTCTATTATCACAAAAGACAATCTCTAGTTTGAAGCGCGTGGCTCATTAATCTCACACTTCAGTCCCTCCTAACACATGCCACGTTCCCAAACTCAGACTGGAACCACCAGAGGCCATCCCATATTCTTCCACTGGTATCAGCACCAGTCTGCTTAAAGACAGAAAGCAATAGGTTGCAGACTGAAGAGCAGCTGTGTCAATCTCAAGTTACTGTATTAAATTTGATCAAGGCGGTGTATGTATATCCCAAAGTATGTTAATCCAGTCAGCGTCAATCTATCTGTGAGTAGCCCAAATTACTGTGATTTAGATGAAGTCAGAGCACTTTGGTATGATGAAGGGCTTTTTTTTTCTTTTTAGCAGCTGTTTATTAAAGACACATGCAGCCAGCTATCATAAATTTTCATTTTGTTACAAGAGTGCTGTTTGTAAGAATGTAGATTAGACACAATTTTTACGTGCCATGCTACCAGTCCTTGTAGGGTCTACTGCCCAAGTTCATATTGTTTCATTTGTACCTAGCAATCAGTGCCTGGCAATAGTGGCTATATGCAAAACTGCTATTGATTAACCTCATGGCACTCTTCAATTAGAGGACACTAATCACCTTCCTAGAAGAAAAAAACACAGGGGAAAAAAAAAAAAAAGGAAAAAAAAAAAGACAGCAATGTAAGGGACATTATAATAATTATAGCAA